ACGGCAAATTCATTCTTGCATCGACTCTGGATGATACGATACGCCTCTGGAATTACCACACGGGAAAGTGCCTGAAGACATACACAGGACACAAGAATGAGGCCTACTGTGTCTTTGGCAGTTTCTCGGTCACAGGCGGCAAATGGATCGTGAGCGGTAGCGAGGACAATTGTATATATATCTGGAATCTTCAGACACGGGAGGTCGTTCAGAAGCTGGAGGGACACACAGGTAAGTCGCCCTCATACTGCACCATTTTAATCCTTTAAGCTGCACTTTCAGGATGGTGTTACTAACTGGATATTTGATTCAAATAGATGTCGTATTATGTGTGGCCTGTCATCCAACTCAAAACATCATTGCTTCAGGAGCGATCGACAAGGACAAGACAGTGAAGCTGTGGGTGGACACGTCGAGTTGATGATTCGGGAGTCTGCCGAGATGCAATGACACAGTGCTTAATATATATTGGTGGAGAAGTCCTCATACAGAACAGCTAGTCCTACATGCCGTGAAGAACAAATCATAATTTCGGGCACATAACTTGAAAAGCGATGTTTATAACGTTGTTATAATATGGTTTCCTGGACAAAGTGAAATTCTAATGTGACTGGACTGCAGGTGTCAGAGAAGGGACTATAGGCAAGGAAGCTTTTGTACTTGGGACGGCAGCCGCGACGAGGTCAAAGACAGACTGGATCTTAGCGAGTGCATCCTTGGGCGACTCCCAGTAGAGGACCTTGGCTCTGACCAACTCTGGGTGTAGTCTAATCTCCTTCTCGAGCAACAGGCTTGCACGTGCAAGGACCAAGTCTTCGGTTTGGAGACGTGTGGATGGACAAAAGTCGTTGGTGGAGTCGCCCATGTAGATGACCTGGTCCCAGGATTGAGCGTCGATGAGCTTTTGGAGCTCGTGGCCCTTGCAGAGGTTCGGGTGACATGGCAAGGGACACCCGTGGGGTTCTTTGTCGAGGCCGTGGAAGCGTGTGATACGGAGACGGCCCACGGAGTCAAAGTGTGCGGGGTTGGTGATGATCTTAGTGAAGAGCTGATCGATCCCATGTGCCTAGGAAGACGGAGAATTAGTTTAGACTGAGGTCAGAAAGAGGTATAAAAGCATGATTGAGGTTCTTAGGCATCGTCGTACGAGCCGTTTTACCTTTAGAATAGTGTCAATATAGAAAGTATTTGCGTCTGAAATGATGCAGAGCTCGGCCCCTTGTGATTTCATCGCTCGCAGGGCAGCAATCATCTCCGGTGTCTAATTTTTTTTTTTAAAAAAAAATAAAAAAAAAATGGACCATGTTAGACCAAGGATAAGGGCAGGTAGGTGCCAGAGAGAGGATGTAAAAACTCGACTTACAAATGGGACCTCTCGCAGGATTCTTTCCAGATCCTGTCGAGTAATACCACGATCGTAGAGGCGTCCCAGAAGCATGTCTTGCAAATCCGTCCATTGCACTTTTCCAAAGAGCTCCACTTGCTCCTTGGCGAACTCTCCGCCGAGATGCTGCACGACCCAGTAATCCGAGTCGGCTTCGATTAAAGTCCTGATTGATACGCCAAATTGTTTGGACATTGTTAGCGAACCGGTACTGTAAATAAAAGGCTTCCTTGGGTTCTTCCATGCATAATGTGGACTATGCTGCTGCTTTTTTACCAGTCGAAATCAAAGACTACGAGGCGCTTGGTGACTGTTGAAGTCGGCATGGTGAAGAATGGTATCAATTGGAAGCAGGAACTGGAGAGTGCAGGCAGACAAAAAATAGTGAAGATGAAAAGAGAGAGAGAGGAGAGTCGTGTTTCTGATTTCTGAAGCTGTAACTGATCTGACTACTGTTCCCCTCCCCTTTCGCGCCCTCTATATATACATTTTCTGGTAATCCATGCCATGGGGAGGTCTGTCCGGCCGGGAAATAAGGCGTTAAAATTCTTAGTCAACCCTCCCGGAATGACAAAATTATTGCCGCGGTCGGTTGCTGACAGGGAATTCATCCTTCAACAATGAACAACTCAACTCCGCTTACTTTCGACTAGAGATTCCCTAGAAGATCGTGACCATTTCTGAAAAACGCGTCTTTGAGCTTTTCAATTTATTTATTTTATTTATCGGCAGAAAAAAAAAAAAAAGGCTTGAAAGAAATACACAACGCACTTTTTAGAAAGCACAATCCCAGAAGCAACGTGAAGAATGCATCTACAGGGACCTCATAAAAATATACACGAAACAAATATACAATCAAAACTGAGAATGAAGCAAAAAGACAAAAAGACAAAAGACGAGCACGATGAAGTGTCTTGTTATAGCCCCATGCCAAGCACCAGATACTTGGGGTCCGCATGAGAAAGAACACCAGGATGAACCACTTCAAATCCAGCGTACATCAACGTGCGGACCAATTTTGCTGTTGATCAAGAAACCAGGAATAACAAAAAGCGATAAACCAGTTAGAGCGGATGGATCGCGCAGAAAGTCAAGAGCGCACATATTAAGGGAGAAACCTACCAAGATGAGGATTGCTCTTTTCTAGGCACAGATAGACCGTTTGACACCTGAGTTGCTCCTCTGCCAGATCCAATGCAGCAACCACGCTCTAAAGTGATCAAACACGTCGGTCAGAATAACGATAGTAATAATAAAAACGAGCAATTGTCAATACCCACTCATCACTTCCTTCAAGAATGGCCGATGAATCAAGACACCAAAGGCGAACTTACCTCTCGAATATTCATATCATCCCACCCATTACCTCTCAGGAACAAGGCCTCCTCAGATTTGAACCCCAACCAAGTATTCATCTTTGAATCATTCGAAAAAATCATCAACGTCGCATTTACATCCACATCACCTCCTTCTAAGGGTCGGTCGGTTTCGTCGTCCAATGAGGATGGAAACTGCTTCATCTCCCTCACAAACGAAGCCGTTTCTGTCTCCGAGATCCCGACCTGGCGATTCTGCCCACAGGTTCCGCTGCCACCAGGACCTGTGAGCATCATCGCGCAATCATTAATAGGGATGTCAGGAACGCCACTGGCCCCTGCCCTCCACTATTTTAATTCAACATGCCAAATTGAACAAAGAATGAGTCGAAAGCAATGGAACAAAATTATTAAAAAAAGAGCCGGACTAGGCAAACGTACACAGCACCAACTTCAATTTAAGAGCAATTGCAAACGCTCGGTAGAATACTTACAGGTTGAATAATAATAGCAGCTGTTATCCCTGCTGGTCTCATCAACAACGCAGACGGCGAGGATGTCAGAATGAGGAGGTAATTCTGCAGCAACCACGGGGCTGGGCGCAAAGCTGTCAAGGGGAAGCGTCAGGGCCATTATACTACTGGTACCCGCGGTCGCAGCCGTGGCAGCAGCAACGGCGGCAGCAGCAGTTGTCGTGGTCGTATTGCTGTTATCGAGGCCCTCCATGATGAGATGAAATCAATCAGTTGCTTTTGTTGTTGCTGTTGTTGTTGTTGTTGTTGTTGTTGTTATTGTTGTCCGTAGGTTTGGGTGAGGGTTATCAAGGTCTGGAGTTCGGGTGTTTATTTCAAGTTGCTGTGCAGTTCCTTTTTTTTTTTTGTGTGTATGTGTTATTACTAATCCTTGTGATCGCTGTACGCTATTGCTTGCTGTTGTTGCTGTTGCTGTTTTGCTGTGGTTGCTTTAAAAAGCTGTTGGTTGTCGCTGGTCTGGTTCGCAGAAAACAATGGAATGTCTTTTTTATGCGATGCAAAAAGTGGAGGAAACACAGGGCGGGGAAAAATCCAGCATTGGTCTTGTGACCGATGACATATTCCTTTTTTTTTTTTTTTATTCAACATGGCCTCCGAGAGAGAACAATCAGTGCTGGTTTCCTAGTGAATAGTCTCTGAGACTTGTGTCTATCTGGCCCTAAATCTTCTAGTGTGGCAGTCGCACCATCTCCAACAACTTCACTGTAACCTCCCTAAGCGTCCCGAGGTCTTTCTCCTGCGATCCGCTCGGCTAGCTGGCAGGCTCCTCACCTGCTAATCTGCCAAGACCATCTCTCCAATTGTAACCTGTACATCTGGGAGATGGTCTTGGTTTCTTGAGAGCACGGAATCCGTTCTACTGGCTTGCGAGCCGAATCCTCTACTATTGTAACATTTCCTCCACCTCCTCGTCCCGTCTTTCCTCCACCTGAGGTCACTGGATGTGAGCTCAGATTAGCCTATTATAAAGTGGGCCTACTCACTTTTGAACTTATACCTGTAACCCCGGCAGGGGTAGCTAAGACGCATGCTGCCAGTGCAGTGGAATAACTTGTACACCCTGGTGTATAGCTGGGAAGTTCTGAACCAGCGCCTCTCGAAGTCCGGAGGCTAGCGCAAGGGCGAAATTTATTCTGAGCATTTTGTCAAGCGTTAAGGAAGGGGAAAGGAAACCCACAACGATTACATGGGGTAGTGCCACTCAATGTGGGGGTCGCCGGGGAAAGGAAACCCACATAACTGAAGTGGGGTAGTACGCCCGACTCATGCTCCAAATAAATTTCTATGCGTAGCACATATTACTGTGCTTTAACCAGGGCTCGAACCTGGTCCCTTCGCGTTACAAGGGAGGTGCCCTGACCATGACCGATGACATATTCCGTAGCTAAATAGACCTTGTACGGTAATAATACGTACAAAATTTAAATTTATATAAATTATTCACAAATATGCAATAGTTCAATATCTATTCCTAGTTGGTCCAGTGGTCAGGATTTGTCGCTCTCACCGACAAGGCCCGGGTTCGATCCCCGGACTGGGAACTCTCTTTTTCTTTTTTGACGATGCGAACCAGCCCCAGTCTTGAATAATTTGATTGACAACCCAGGTTGCCAAGTAGATAGTAGGTTCTTCCAAAGACTGAAGTCAAACTTTTGTGCACTAGAAGGAAAGTTTCTTCTCTTCTTCTCCAAAAAGGCAATTTTTTTTTATCAAAAAGTATGTATTTGGTATGGTGCCGTTTCCAATGATATCGGGGGCGGTGCTGTATGGTGTTCTGGTAGGGGGTTTTCTATGCCATCATTTCTTAAGCCTAACCTCATTATGCCAAAATCCCAATTCTGGAAAAATAAACGCACGGACTTTATAAATTCTGTGATCACAAAAAAAAATCCGCAGTTACGTATAAAAAGGACCCCTTCGTTCACTTTCCCTCTTCTTTTTTTTTTCTCCCACAAAGTCCTTTTCTCCACCCCCCCCCCCCCCCCTCGCTCTAACGCACACACATACACATACGTATACTCACACACACTCACACACTTTTCAGACCCCTCCAAACAACCCTACTGTCCACCATGACTTTGAGCGTCGACATCCTGAACCCTTCCCCAGCACATGAGGCAAAGACCCACAAACTCAAGCGCCTCGTCCAGAGCCCAAACTCCTTTTACATGGATGTCAAGTGTTCGGCCTGCCAGACTATCACCACGCTTTTCTCCCATGCTGACACTGTCGTTGCCTGCCCCAAGTGCAAATCCGTCCTCTCCCAGCCCACCGGTGGCCTTGCTCGTCTCTCTGAGGGTGTCTCCTTCAGAAAGAAGCCGCAGTAAACTATAAATGGATTTGATTCGTCGACGATCGGATTCGTTTTGCAGCCTAGCGTAGGCATCTTTTTGCTTATTTAATAAGAGCGTAGCTATACCTTCCTCCGTTTCTGTCATGTGCGGGACCAAATTTTTTGGAGCCATTGCAGAAATCCGCACTTCTGGCCTTTGGTTACAGATCACAAAGAAAATAAACCACACTTCTTTGTTCATGAAATATATGTTCTTGAATGTCGCATTGATCTGTGCATTAGCGGAATTCAGAGCCGACTCTGGCATCCATAGATAAGCCCCACAATGCTTAGGACCTGCTCCCGAGTTTACAAAATGACCCCTCGCTTAGTGTCACATTTCAAGATCGTTCATCATACTATCAAATGATGCAAGTCTTTACTCAAACCACGAGGAGTTCTAAAAAGAGCAAGCCTGACACTCGCGAGCAGTCCAGTAATCTAACAACAATCCTCGAACGAAATAAAGAACCACTTCATAAGACCAAACACTGTTCCGTTTTTTAATTTTGAAAAAAGATATTATGGCGTTGAAAATCATCGAATCAGACAATATAGTGCTTCAATGGACACGGATGCGCTTCGTCCCCTTGGCTGCCAGATCCCCACCCTCATTATCTGATTCAATCGCACTTGCACTGCGACTCCTTTGCTCTTTCTGACCAAACTCGTCATCTTCTTCCCCATGTGCCACAGCATCTCGATCATCATCCTCCTCCTCCTCCTCCTCCTCATCCTCTGCCTGCCGCTTCCTGCCGTAGGTGGTTGGACGGCTCATTGAGGACTCTTCTACCTGCTCAGTATCCGCATTGGCCATCTCAATGTCGAGTTCTTGCCCACTTTGCTGCTGCTCCTTTTGTTGTTCCTGCAATTGCTCTTCCCGGAGTTGTGCTGCAGCCTCAGCTTTCTTTACCGCAGCAGCCTGATCTGCCGCAGCCTTCTGTAGCTGCTTTTCGAGCTTGGATTGGTATGACCGAAGGGGCTCCCACATGTCATCCCTATCGATCGCGAATCCCTTACTCTCGCATTCAGACTTGATCAGCTCTTGACTAAAATGTGGAGTATGGGATTGCATTCAAAATAAAAGCATAGTGTCAGAGTCAATCAGTTCCTCGCTACAAATGAGTGGGTTCACATGATATACAGAAACAGACAGTACATACAGGGATGTAACCTCGTTTGATGCAGTCTGACTCCCAAAAGGTATTTGGCCAAGGATATCAAAAAACTTGATCATTTTCGCCTGCTTCTTTGCATCCTTGGCAGTTCCGTATTCTTCAATCTTAACCAGAGCGTACGTGATCCCACATCTGTGTAGGTTCCAGACGAGTTGTGAATCGATTCCTACTCTGCTGGTCTGCATAAATCCTGGAGGTTTAATAGCTGTTGCTAGGACCTTGGCGAGTTGAAGAGACTGATTGATGGACATTGCTCGACCATCCATGTAAATTTCAAAAGACTAATGGTGCAAGAAACGAGGCGCCAAAGACAGATTAGTAACCCGTTCAGTATAAAAAAGAACCAGTAGCAGATCCAGTGAATGCTACAGCGCCTACCTCCTTAAGCGCCTCCAGACAGATGCCCATAAACGCCTCAGCCTTTTGATCATTAGCCTTCCTGAAGAGTCCCTCAGTCATCTGCATCTTGATGCTTGTCAGGACCCGCTTCGCACCTTCATCGTATTCGGCCCCAAAGTGTCCATAGCGAGCAATGATAGGTGTGGCATGGCCCATGCTAAAGTCCCTGAGCATAATCTGGCGCATATATGAGAACACTGTCCCAAACATCTCGTACTTGTCCTCTTGTTCAATTTGCGCTGCTGCTAACTTTTCGTCCTCCAAAATCTCAGCCATGTTTGCGGCGTTGTCATTGTCGCCATCCTCTCTATCAGAGTCCCCATCCACCTCCGCAACATCGTTCGATGGTGTCTTTGGTATCCTGGCCGCTCGCAGAGTTTTCATCTTTTCTTGCACCTTCTCCTGCCAGAGGTCGAGTTCCGACCTCAAAAAGCGCTCGCATTCGTCCTGCGTAGTCTCCGGGCAGGTCATGTAAAGTCTGTGGCGGTTCGTACCCTTAGATGCATGGAACATATCACCCCCAAAGAGCCAGTAAATGTCTCCAAGGATCTGGAAGGCCCTACGGCGTACTCGAGCGTCGATATCCTGACTCTCCTTGATCGCAAGATCCGAGACGACACGAATAAGAGTCTCCCTCATATGAAGCAATGCTTGCACATCGTTCTCTGTCCAATCAGCATTCTGATCATATTTCGAGGCGTAACTTCTGCACACCCATGAGATCCATAGAAAAGAAATCGAAAGTGCTGAAATCAAAACCTGTCGCAAACATAGGGAAGATTTAGTTTATGCACTTCACTTCAATCCGATGCTAACTGCTGGTAATCAAGCACGCGAGCATATTACCTCAGCATCCTGGTCGCGAACTTGCCTATATCTTTGGATGACATTTAAGAAACCATCGAACGGATCCTGATCTGTTGAGCGTATCCTCTTCACAGTGACGTCAGTAAACTTGATCAAGTGCTCAAGCCTTCGCAGGCAAAGCGTAAGGCTCTCCAACATGTCCCTATCTGCTACATCTGTGTCCTGGTTCTAGTGCCAAATATAACACAGTATTTCGTATTAAATTCATTTCATCTATGAGCATTATTCATAGCGGAGAAATCGAGATAAACAATACCTGTGAGAGAAGTGTCAAAAAACTATCAAGGACAGATGATCCCAGGGCCTCGATCTTGGCTTCATGCGACGTCCGCAAAATCTCGTTGCCCTGCATCGTTCGGATGGTCAACGCTGCAGCGCTAAGTACAGATGGATCGCTGTGCTTCTTAAAAACCTTGATGACCTCGTCCACCAGCTCCTCGTACGCCTGTAGAAATTGCCATGCAATTGAGTATAAATGAGTTAAAATGCCGTACCTGTCATCACCCATAGATTCACATGTGGAAAATCGCCACGAGATAAAAGACATACCGTGAGCATACGCAGATCCACATAAGTACCCAGCGGAATAATCTGAGGGATGACAAGGACAGATCGGATCCGACTGGCATCCACGCCATACTTTGAGAATAGCTGTGGCATAATGTTGGCACAGTAGCCCCCGACCTCATTCGCAACTTCATCCAGCTGCGCCTTCAACCTGGCCTTGTCCTTCTGGAATCCATGTACAACGGGAGGATTAAGCGTCAACTGCAGGCTTGCAATAAAGATCTCCAACAGCACATTCTCCTCTTCCTCCTCGAGATGATAGACATCCTCCAAGGAAGCTGGTTTCGAATTTCCACGCTTTGATGATGAGGAAGAAGCAGAGGTAGCGGTATGATCTTCGAGAAGATATTCTGCAATAGATTTCCAGTTCTAACATGCGCGGATCAAAATATTAATACGTAAAAACATGGCCATAGCACCTGAAGCCAGTCAATGACGCCATCATTTCAATTCCACATACCTTGAGGGTCTCGACCTCAGACCAAAGTGCCTCGACGGCCAATGCGATTCTTCCGATCTTGGTTTCATCAAAGAGTCGGGTCCCCGCGACTTTCAGGTGTTCACCCTGGGCTGCAGACTCATTTTCGTCCCCTACCTCCTTGCCGACCTTCACAAAAAAATTGGCCAGAGATTTGAGCTCCACCCAGTCTTTCCTGACGATCTTACTTTCGCCTTGTGCTGATGATACCAGCAGCTCACAGTCCGCTATCCTGGCTTCAACTTCGTCCTCCCAAACATGGGCCTTGATAAACTTGGCGAGGGACTTGCGGACCCTAGCATTTGCACCAAAGATCAATGCGCTCAGCTTGACCTGATCCGCTTCTTCAAGTTGGCCGCGCTTGTGAATCAAGGTAACGACTCGGATGGCTCCTAGACGAGCGGAGGTGTCGGACTCACCAATGGCCATCCCAATAAACCGGTCTGTGAAGCGAGGAGTGAACTGGCGCAGGGCACTGGGTTGGTTTTCAATCTCGTAAAGTTTCGCTAAAACCTTGAGTGCCTCTAAGCGAACTGCTGCTGCTTTATCCGAAAGTCCCCAGCCTACATATCCAAGGTAGGTCTGGGCGATGAACTGCTCAGGGTTGACCATCATCCATTCTCCCAGCTCATGCACGCAATCCAAGCGGACCAAAGGGTCAACATCGCGACATCGTAGCACGTAGACACTAGAGTAGAGAATGATAGGATAAAATGTCAGCAAAGAGCAACATGATAAACATCAAAGATGGCTTCAATCTCGATTAAACTACCTATCAAAGATTTCGTTAATCCAATCGCGGATCTCCTTCTTGCGTCTTTGGTTCTCAGCAACCTTCTTCTCAAGTTGCTTGACTTTTGATTGAGCTGCCTTTTGCTTCTGACTGGTTGCCAGTTGGCGGTTTGACACATTCAGCTCCTCTTGCAGCTCGCTAGAAATTTCAGCCAGAGACGTAACGACGTTTAGAGCAACTGTTGTCGCGGTGTGACGGACCGGTCGATAGGACGAACTAGTCGCAAAAGAATAGTATAGTCAGTACTAACGAATGACTGAAAGACGTATTTATCATGGCACTAGGGCCCTGTCCTTGCACTGTACCTGGAAAGCGAGAGTGTCCAATTGAGCAAAGTATTCATAAACGCGCCATCAAACAAAATATCGCCCTGCACCTTCTGGAAGAGCCGCGAATAAAACTCAAGCAAGTTCTTTTTAAACTTTTTAAACTCCTTTGCCTTGGACACAATTGGATAATCGAAATTGGTAGTGGTCTATCAAATTGAAGTCCAAAGGTTGCAACGATAGCATGAGCACACAACTCGGGATGATAGCTAAACAAAATTCTCAGCAAAGTAGAGTTCTCATTATATTACCTCCTTGTATCGTAACAGGATACTGTTCAAATTCTCGACCATCTCGTTCTGATCGGCAAAATCGCTGGCAGTAAGAAATTGCTTGCAGCCGCAACACCGGATGAGAAAGTTAGTTAAATTCAACATGGCCTCATTCGAGGATCTCTGGTAAAGGCTGATCCAGTCCGTCGCAACCGTCTCGAGGGCGACTTGGGAGTCCAAAACAGCAGCTACATGTTCCAGGATTAGACAAACGTTAGGGCTTATCCGTCTCATCATTACGGCCTTGAATGAAATAAATAGTGGATAAAAAAGAATTGCTGCGATGGCCATGCTTACAATAGATTGCATAGTGTCCTTCCTCATCATCCTCTGCCTCATTATCCGAAGTCGTTGCAGCTGATTGCTTCTTTCGACTTGCAGAGCTCGTTGATGCTTTTGCCTTCTTTGCTGTCTTAGGAGCCTTGGGCGTAGTTGTCCTAGACTTTCTTGGCTTGATGATCGGAATCCTGGATTCCACTGGCTTTGGTTGACGAGTTTTTTTGGAAGCGGCAGCTTTGGTTCTTCGTTTTTGAGAGGGTTCCTCAAAATCGGATCCATCGTCATCTTCTTCTGATGAAGATGATTCCTCCAGTTCGTCTTCCTCGACCTCTCCGTCTTCTGCATCCTCTTCGCCTTCTGCCTCCTCTTCGTCTTCTGCTTCCTCTTCTTCTTGATCCTCCGATGGAACGCGGGCTGCAGCCGCCTTGCCTGCTTTAGAAGCGTCGATCGCTGGTTTCTTTATAGAAGTAGCAGATCGCATTTCTTTGGTCCTTCGAACAGAAGCGTTTCTTTGAGAAATCTGGGCTAGTGTCTCTTCTTGATTTCCCTCGTCGTCTTCGATCTCCTCTCCCTCAGAAGAGTCCACAGTATCCACTTTAGACTTTGATGCCTCGGATTGTTTATGTGTAGCCGCCGTTTTAGTTCCTAAATAAAGATAAAAAAAAAAGGTAAGCATGCCGTTGAAGAACACGTTGACGGATACGTGCTTAATATGAGGACCGAAAGACCTACCCTTTAGGTTCGAAGGCGGAGCCGCATTACGAGTCGACCTTCGGGTTGACGACACACCATTCGCATCAGCATTCTATTCGAATGAGTATGAGATTCAGTTCGAGTCCGTGTGAGATTCCATGGTCATTCTCTGGCGCATAAACGCGGCTCCTGGGCTGAAGAAACGTACAGTTTTGGGGCGCGACCTGGTCATAGTTTCGTTGCTGCTGTTGCTGGTATCGGTGCTAGGTTGACTGTTAACGAGACTTAGATACGAAGAAACAGGCGAACGATAAAGAGAGGATTGAAGGTGGCTGACAAAAGGGGGTGGACAAAAAAAAAGAGGAAGAGAGAGAGAGAGAGAGAGAGAGATGACGATTTGGATGGAAAAAAGAAAGGACTTTACTCTTCCTCTGTTTGTGCTCAAATTGGTGGCGCGAAGGGGGAAAATGAAATCGACGCGTTCGAAAACAAATGACTGGTTTTCTGGATTCTGAGCGCGTCGCGTTGCTGGATCACGCACATCGGTAAGGATCGGATAAAACGCAAGAAGGACGTGGTTGTTAAGAAGACGCCAATATTCAAATACATTATGATTAGTTGGGTGGTACTGATACACTTGGATGGTACACTATTTACGCTACAAGAGACTACAAAAGTTGCTGGAACAAACAGGAAAAAAAGACGGATAGAGAAAAATAACAGGAAGCGCTTTGCTGTCGAAATATTCGGATTCGCAGGGGTATAAATATGTTTGCTCTTCAAGGCAGTTCCACTGCGTACTCAAACTTGGCTATTATTGGCAAAGACAAAACAATAAAGTAAAGCATTGTTAGTTATCACGTCCGTCTCAATCAAACATTTTGTTTTGCACTCAAGTGCACTTGAACGTAAAGTAAATAACTTACAGATGCCGACGATGGTCCAGCACAGGAAATCGTCGCTACCGGGTTTGGAGGTCTCTGTCATGGTAGAGGTCTCGTAGCGCAAAACAGTACTCGAAGAAGTAGAATGATCCATGAATCGTCCATTCTGGTGATCGTCACCCACAGCACCGAGGTACATGGGCCTGCCATCTCTGGCACTGCGCTCCATTGACTGAAGCGCAACCTTCTGCATCTGACAGATAGGGCCAATGGCACCTTGCAAGATTCGACCGTTCTCAACCTTGCATACCACCAAACGGTCCGACCCCAATCCTGTCGCCGTCTCGGTCAAGATAATTTCTGAGCCGTAGGTGATGGGCGAAGCACTCTGCTGAACAGGCTGACGATGATGGGATTTTGTCGATCCGTTGCGGGCCGATGCAGGAGAGCTGGGTCCGGACGACACAATCGAGATAGTGAAGGATGACCAAGCCGAGCTCTTTGCACACAGCTCACTATCCTGAACGGACATGTACTTTGTGCGAACTGTCTGCGAGTTGATGCGGTTGAAGAGCGAGACCAGCGACCCAGCAAGGATGCACGACGAGACATTACGGGCCTTGGCGGTCTTTTTCGACGGCTTAGATATGATGGCGATGGGCTGCGAATCGAACTCGGCAATTGGATCTGGCAGATCGGACTCGAGCTGAGCAGAGCCCTCGCCTGACTGGTTGGAGTCATTCGAGACGAATCCATTGGGCAAGCAGGCGCGACCATAGACCTGTAGCTTGAGCTGGAACGACTTGGCCTTGGCGGTGCCACTGACATATAGGTAACGGAAAGTGCTCGATTGATCGTCCTCCAGTGTCGACCGCTGACCGAGGGTGCTGTTCTCGCCAGATTCGCAGATCACCGACATGGCTACCTGGGGTTTACTTGTAAACCCAAAGCTGTGGTCGTCCAGCTGGCCTTGAATGTGAACAATAGGTGGCGGGCACAAGAAGCGCTTCTCGGATCCGTATGACTTTTGAGCGACCGAGGCGTGGTAGCAGCTGATGATGGTAGAAGCGCCATCAGCCGACCTTCCAATGTTATTGCTGCTGCTGCTGTTCGAGACAGAGACCTGGTTCACAGGGGATGCCTCCATAAGACCTTCAGCTACCAAGGACATGTTGAAGGAGCGAGGCGACTCTGCTTCTGCACCCTCAATAAGGGCCGGGATGGCACGTCTGATCTTTTGGCTACGGTTGATGTCCTCGGAGGTGTGGGTGCTGAGACGTGACCACTTGCGCTTGTGGGTGACATGGTTGGGACCCAGCGAGGGTGAGCAAGGGCGGGGCAGCATTGGCTTTGAGCGAGGGCGATGGCTCTCCTCGGCCTTTGGGTCAGTATCGCATCCCTCGCGCGAGGGCTGTGGGTCGAGGTCGTCGACAAGGTTGCTAATGGACATTCGCCTGACAGACGGACTGTTGGTCCGTGTCCCCTTTGTGTGACTATCAAGTGCCGAGAAAGGCGAAATGACAGTCGTGGTGGCCGCAGTCGCAGTCGCAGACACCGCATCGGTGGCGAAGTCGTCAGCGGAGGGCGAAGAGGGAGCAGAGGAAAGGGAGCTGGTCGAGGGGGAGAGAGATCCGCTGGAGGATGAGGACGAGGCCAGCAGGCTGGAGTGAACCTCGACTGCGTTTAACAGCGACTCCATGTTGGTGCCCAGATATTCATGTTTGTTTGATCTGGCTGTGGAGGATTGAATGGTGTCAGGCTTGATCTCCTTCGAGTCCGAGGAGACGGGGGATGTGGAAGAGGACGAGGATGGCGAGAGTGATGGGGTAGGTTGTGAAGATGAGGCAGGCGTCTTTTGGTAGCGCTTATCGTAGGATTGGTAGGATGGCTGGTGATGCTGCTGCTGCTGCTGCTGGTGAATCTGGTGAGTCTGGTGACGGAGCTGGTTTGAATAATGTGATGGAGTACGATAGCCATCGTCTGTCGAGCCGTGATGGTGATGGCGATGATGATGAGCAGAAGGAGCATTTGAAGGAGATGAGGCTGAGGACGAGGGCGAGGACGAGGGAGTGTCATCCATGGGATAAAGGGCTGCGAGCGAGGGCAGGGGCAGGATAGTGAGACGGGCGTCGGGGTGGTGCCGACTGGCGGTCTCGGAGTGGATGGACTCTGCATACGCCTGCGCGGCAGAGGGGAAGGGAGGCCTCATTGTGGTGGTAGCTTGTGGCTATTACAGCTGCGGATATGATATGATATAATATTGAGTTTCGGAAGGTGCGTCTGAGTGCGAGTCCGTGTCCGTGTCTGTGTCAGAGTCCGTGTGCAAGGCAAGGTGACAAGGTGGCAAAGTGACAGAGAAGGAGAAAGGGAGAGAAGGGAACAGGTGCGGTTGTGTATGTGGTAAGAACGGACACCAAGGATGGGTTGTGGAGTAAGACAGAAAGAGAATGTGAAGGTGGAGGCCGGTACAAACACGTTGATAAGATGGACCGTGTGTGTGTGTGTGTGTGTGTGTGGAGAAAGAGAGAAGAAAAGGGAAGAATGATCCGAGAAGAGACAGTTTCGCTGGTGGAGGAGAGGATGAAGGAGGAGGATGAGAGGGCGAAGGGTGGGAAGGTAAAAAGATGAAAAAAGGTAAAAGGGTGAAAAAGGTGGGAAAGAGAAAAAGAAAAGAAAAGAAAGGCGAGGTTGGGGGCCGCTTTTTCTCTTTTATACAAACACCATTTTGTTTTCGCTTTCGTTTGAATGAGGATCGAATCGCTTCCTCCCTTTCTTTACTCCAACGAAAGAGACAACGCGAAAAGACGAAGGACACAGAAGAGAGAGTGTGTGAAAGTGAATGTGAATGTGATTTCTGATGTCTGACGTTTTAAAATAGACCTTATTATTGAGATCTTAATTGTATCGTATCGTATTCTATTCTATTGGTCTGTATACTATACAATGTTGTTTGTTTTCTTCTACGCGCAGAAGAGGGTGGAGAGTGAGAGAGTGCGTGTGAGGTCCATCCCATCGTGCTGCTGTACCTGATCATTCTATTCATTCTAATTCAGTGCCCACTATTAGGAGATAAGGAATAACGAATGTCGAAAATTGTTTCGTCCAGTGCTCAATCTCCACTTTTAACATTTTTCCAAAAGGCGGGTCGTCTGTCGTCCTTTTTGTGGTTTTTTTCCCAGACATCCTTTCAAGGAAGCACATTTCCATCGTGTCTTCTCTCTCTCGACGGTGGACCAAATCTATGCAAGACATTTGCTCGCCATATATCACTGCCACCACCACCATGCCCTACCACACTATCATATTGCTTCAAATTACACGACACATCTCGCACTCCCTCCCTCTCCCTCCCCTTGAACTCCTCGAACCCCTTAGCCCATTTTTTTTTGATTGTTTGTTTACTTCAACTTTCCCACCGCAGGAGGCCCATAGGGAGGTAGAAAAAAATGTAACGCGACTCTCGTATTGTAGCTTGTATTTTTCCTTCTTTGTGCCCCCTTATCTCAATTATACCCACGGTTATTCACTCCCTCAACTCCTACACGGTTGTACTCGACACGTCGGATGTTCGGATCTCAAAGAAGTACACAGCTTGATATATTTATTTTACTTTCAATTGACGGGGTTGTAGATCGCGATGGCTTAAGAAAAACATTTCAAATTCATCTATTGATAAAATAAAACGCCGCAGAGCTGGGGAAAGGGAAGGTGTGCGAACAAAAGAGCAAAAAAAAAAAAAGATAGGGAGAAAAGGAAAGGGAAGGGGATAGACGGGGGTTGGTGTAGTGGTGGTAGCTGGTAATTTGAAATGGTAATGACTGATGAAAAATAGTAAAGGGTAAAGTGGATATTTTCTTTCTTTGATGTAAAATAGCCTGCATCTGTGGGTGAATGCTCTCAGTCTTTGTAGTTCTCTTTTGTCTCCTATTGCTTCGTCTTTTTTATTCAACGGATGTAGATAAAGAGCATGTACCGCAATGCGGTTGACGCATGGGTTGTCAATGGAGGACAATGGACAAATGGTCCAAGGGAGAGCAGAACAGGGATCAATGGACGAATAAATGAATGAACGAGTGCGACAGACCTCCTTGTCCTTGTAATCCTTGTAACAAACGATTGTCTTGTTCAATCAAGCACTTTTTTTACTCGCTCTTTTGAAAAATTAAAGTGCACCCTCGGAAGCAAACAAGATCCAATCGATCACCAGAGCGGGTCGAAGGGGGAGGCTACACAGGATGAGGGACAGGTAATTTTTCCTTGCTCAGCTTATGATAAACCAAAGACCACATCTCTTTTTTTATCAGCCGTCCATGCGGACAAAAAAAAACCCAATGTATTGTTGTAACAATAGTCTACTACGATGTATCTGAGCGTGCGTGGTAAAAAAGTCTTAGCCAGGAGACCGCAAGATCAGACAGACGGGCAGAATGACATGACAGATATCAACGTCCGCTTGTACCGCGTTCTTGGTACATACGAAACACTTTACGTTCCAGACAAACCGACACGATACCATAATCGTGATGATGATGATGACGACGAAGAAGGGGTTTCGGCTGATGACCGATGTCCCAGGGTCTGCTGGTTGCTTTACCACGGTATCCTGGATTAAAGCGAGTGTGAGAAAAAATAGTGCCACCATAAGAAGGTTCAACGAGCATGTGATGATGCCCAGCATCAGCAGTGAGCTCGGACATGCACAAGCGCATGTCGTCCTGGCCAGCAATAGCTTTCTGTATCCACTCAAGGTAGCCCATTGCTCTTCCCCTGCGCCCTCGGCCGGACCATCTCTTTACTGTGACCAGCTTTGCTGTTAAGCCATTTTAGGGCCCTTCTTTCTCTGCTATTCCTCCACGCGCTCCGCTCCGGCTGCGTTTATTGCGTGTGAGCGTGCGTGTGGATGGGCTCTTGCTCCCTCCCTTCACGTGCGTTTTTATTCCCACGCATCGTAACACTTCGTGCTGGATGAATTCGTCCACCAACTTACTTATCTATTTTTTTTTTTTGCCCGTCCGTTCACTAGTCAGCACTCCGTTTATTTCCATTGCGACGATCAGAGTACATTAGAAGTAAAGAGTAAGGATAAGAAGAAAAGTATCCATTTATGTGTCAACAGATACATGTGTAATCTGCATGCATTTTTAAGATTTTCGTTTGGACGTCCGTTGGTCCTGCCGTGGGAATAATTCGGGGACAGGACGCGTGGCGAGCTGCTAGACTTTGCCTACAATAGTCTACCAACCTACTTTCTTTTTATCGGCATCGCAGATATAGCACTGGAGAGGGCTGAACGATAAGAGCGCTATTAGTGCTCCCTGAGCTGCAGAGTACTTTATCAACACAGAAAAAAAAAAAAAACCACCAAACCCATTCCGTGTCGTTGGTCTCCCCGCAAGTTTCTTCCGCAATTCTTATCAGGATGGAGATCGCACCAGGCTTCAACAAAGCAAAACATTTCCAGCATCTACACTCCTCATCAACAAACAAACAAAAAGGTATGACAACAAAAAAAAAAACTGATACAGTTGCTTGCTCCGATACTTTTATATATATAAATATGTATACCCGTTATAGTTTTGCGATCGTGCCGATTATTCATTTTCAAGACAAAATGGTAGCAGCTCTTTCGTCTTATCATCATCTCGCGTCTCCCGCAACCTTCCTTTTACCTCTTCGATATTAACATCCGCCGCAGTTCCGAACGCACGCGATCGACCATCGCCATTGCAGACACTTTTTGGGACGTGTACTGAATTTCTCATTATTGGTGCTGAGACGTATTCTGAAACTACTCTGCACTGTTCGGCAAAAGCCAGCCTAACGGAATCCTAAAGTACATCTGTCAAAGATCGATCTCCTACGACACGACGGTCGTCTCCTTTCCCAATACTCCCGCCACCGCCGCCGCTGCTGATCATACTATCGATTCTGGATCTCCAATAGCACGAGCGCCTGCGCAAGGAGGCCATCGTCAGCGTGATGTCTTGAGCTGCGACAACAGTCTCCTGATCATGGTACTGTAGCCTCTGACAACGATTCTCGAAGGCGATTCAGAAGCCGGTCTTGACTTTGTTCCTGGCCCTGGTTCAAGAATTGACGCTCTGCTCTAAAGGGCCATCAGATCTTCTGATATGGAGCACTCTCTATCATCTTCGATCGATGGTGCCTTCTTGGTTTTCATTCTCATATCGGCCCTCCTTGGATGGAGATCGACTGCGTCCGCGCCCTGCCCTGCTATCGACCTCGTAGATGGTTCTACATCGCGTCCTACCAATAAGCTAGTCCACGTCTCTTTTCCCACGGGGTTCATTCCTAATTCTACCACCATATTGTCTGCCACCAAGTCGCAAGGTAGATCCGGTGGCGGATCCGGAGTTAGTAGAAGTCTACACAGACAGCCGCACCATCATAGCCTTCTTGAACCCTTCTGTCACAGATGCAACTCGTGGATTCTGTGACCGAATAAGGATCCCTTGAACTCGAACTTGATCGTAAGCATGCGCCTGATCTTGAATTCGACCCTCTGGATTTTCCCTCGACCTTGGAACTGACACACGGCGATGAGTATTCATATGAACCATGACCGTTAACCATCACGTTGTCATTGCCCATGATGGTAATCTCCATGATTCTCTGTCGTGGGATCACCACAACGGATTGGATATGTCCCAGAGAGGTGAGGTGCTAGCTCCAAAACGTAAGAGTATCTTTTTCTCTGTCCGCAACGATATTGCTATTGGTGCTGTTGCTGCTAGGTTGTTAGCCCCGTTGATCACTTTTCCTTTGAGACGGGAACAAGGAGTAGTATTTGAGCTATAATAAAAGAAAGAATGCACTGGAGGGAAGTGGAAGAAATTCAGGGAAGCAGCAGTAAGACCGGGGGACCATTGGTTAAGCACACACACACACGCACACACAAAGCATTGAGATGAGGTGGGTAGATGTAAATGCAGGTATGAAGCGACTTTGGAGTTAGTGCAGATCAGAGCATAGCCACGAATGCCCAAGAAAAAGCACAAAAAACAACGCGTTTCCCGCCATGCGAACAGTTCTTGGCCAGCGTGCGATCGGCCTTACAAGTTCGCGATCTGTGCTACAACCCACCAAACACATGTCTCTAACGGTCGTAAATACCTGTGCCTTTTTTTATTATTGTTATTATTATTATTATTATTCGATTCACTATTGCATGCTGCCGCTGATATACATCAAGAGGAAAAAAAGACGATGACCTGCATCGCTCACTGATAGTTTCGTTTTCATTGTCGTTGTCATTTCCATGGAAATCTGTGTCTTACTCTGTCTCTCTTCCATTCATATGGTTACATGCAAACAGCTACACGAAAAGGACTGAAAAATGATGATGAAAATATAAACATGCTTGAGATGGTACAATTTGGACGGGTGATAAAAAGAAAGAAAAAAGACTAGAGCGCTACTGGCATGCATGGGCTGTAGGCGGGGACGACTATAAACAATCTAACAGGGGTAATGGCAGAGAAGGATCTGATAAAGGGCGAAACTGGGTATGAGACACAAATAGGTATAGCGTTGTGTGAATGGTCGTTTACCAAGGAGGTCCGCTATGCCCGTGCCCATGGTCGTGTCCATGTGCATGTCCGTGGCCGTGTCCTTGCACATGTCTTAGACCTTGCAGGGCTTGAGGACGGTAGTTCGGGTCATGTTCACCGGGATGTCCTCCCACTTGCTGTCCATGGCGCGGAGAGGAATGCTTAGGCACAGAGTTATTATGTGGAGGAGGATACTGCGGATGATCCTGGACATGCATCAGTTTCTGTTGTGCAGGGTACTGTTGCTGCTGCTGCTGATGGTAAGAGACAGGTCCATGGCGAAAGTCATGTAGCGCATGCTGTTGTTCTTGCTGTTGCTGCTGCTGCTGCTGAGGATGTGGCGGTGCATGCTGAGGATATTGTCGTTGTGAGGAGTGAAGCGGCGGCTGATGATCTGACGGCAAGTGGCCCATGGATCCTCGTGCACCTGGTCCCCCGCGCGTATGATCCTCCTTCATGGCAAGCTCGTTCCCTAAAGCCGACCTTGCGCCTCCCCCGGGGTATAAGCGATAGGTCGGATCGTGAGGAGCACCAGTTCCATGATGTGGTGGGTAGGATGCGCCCTGCCTTTCTTGCGCAGAGGACGGATGAAGCGATTGAGAGTCATATGCGGACGAACGACCTGATCCAAAGTTCCCAGCATGGGCCTCTTGTTCATAATAACCCTGGTTGCCTGAGGCTGGAACTTGGTCATGATGGACTCCACGATATTGTCCAGACGCTTGTGGCTGTTTATGGTAGGTTAACTGTGGCTCTAAGTCGTGAAGCGACTCCTGTTCCGAGTGGCGACTCAAGGGCAAGTGTTGCTGCTGTTGTGGATGCATATGCTGGGGATGAGCGGGTCTAGCTTCATATCCCGCATGTGCTCCCGCTCCTTGTAGGGAGCCGTAGGTCCCTGGGTGATGTTCTACTTGCGCCTTCTTCCTTGAAGAGCCTCCCACCATCATTTGCTGTTGTTGTTGCTGCCGCTGCTGCTGCTGCTGATGCTGTGGGTGGTACGAAGGCTGCGCTGGTTGCTGCTGGTGATGTGCATGCGAAACTGTTCGTTGCTGTCCAGGACTCTGTGTTACTGGCGCTGATGGATAGACTCGAGCGTACTGTTCAGGCTGCACCTGTGATGACTTTACACGGCCTCCTTGATGCGGCGAACCATGAGAATGGCCATGCTCGGGGGGCACAATACCTGGCTTGGACAATGACGAGTGCCTGGAGTGGGTCGGACGATCAGGGTTGGGTCGAGGACTCTCTTGAGCAGTCGCAGATCCTGGATGAGGGTACTGATCGTGATGAACAGCTCTGTTCGTAGGAGGGTTGCCATGCTGAGGTTGCTCTGCGCCAGAGTACATTGAGCGGCTTGGTGGGTGCGAAATAAGTTGAGGAGTCATAAGCGGAGCTTCACCGGAGACTCTCCTTCCTGAGGGCAGGGGCTGGGAAGGTGACTTAGTGTGCATATGTGGCGGAGGCGCCGGATATTGCGCATGGGCCTGCTGAGTCCACCGGTCCGCCTGCGGTCCCCCACGCTGTGACGGTGGCGCTACCGTCCGTGGAGACTGCGACTGGATTTGCGCTTTTCGCAGTTGGTGCTCGTACTCCTCTGTCCTAGTGTTCACATGCTGACCCATTCCTATCAATTCTTGAGAAAGTTTCTGCTTCTTGGCCTGCTGGTGCCGCGTCATATTAGGGTCCACAACAGAAGGAGGCGTGCCTGGGCCCACATGCATGCCACGGTGTCCTGGCACGCTATACTCATGGGCATATGAAGAACGGCCGCCGTATTCCATTGATGCCGCATTTCCTCTTTGCGGATGCTCCTGGGAAGGATTGCGCTGGCCCCAATGAGGTGCTTCCCGACTCGGGAAATCTTCGTCACTGCGACTCTCAGGTTCAGAATCCTCGTCATTCAAAATGAACTGTAGCCTTGTCTTGGACTCTCGCTTGGCTAGGGCAGCCTCATTCGCCCCTGATGTAAATGCGCTGTTGCCTCTCATCCTTGCGCCATCCACGTCAGACTGGAATGGTGCTGGGCCGCCTAATCCCTGAGGGGAGTATACGCTTTGGAAATACTCCATGTCATGCTTGTTTACACGCGGGTTATGATGTATAGGTGGGAAGTCGCGTCTTGCTGCAGTCTGCGGATGTTCTCGCGCCGTCGGTTGGGGTTGGACAATGGCAGTAACAACAGGCTTATACAATACGCCAACATCCGAGTGGGAGCGTCTATGATTTGTCTCTCCATGCTGTCCTAGATCTAGCCGCTTACTATGTGGCTGTCCATAAAGTTGCTCGGCAAGTTCCCGCTGGTCAGGCGCTGTTGGATCTGGACGTAGCGAATTGAGCGACTGCGATGTGCGCAAATGATGATCCATCGAATTGATTCTTCGATGGAGGCGCACAGTCTCCTCAGGCGGCCGCAAGTTGCTGTTGGGAACGCCAGATGCCTGTTGATCGATCCGTCCTTGGTTAGGAGAATCGGATTCGCTTGGCATCGTGCGCTGGTCTCTTTGTGTAGGAGGTTGGGGTGCTGGGTCCCCTAGGGATTGGTTCAGTCCCTTCTGCTGACCGGAATACTGAGCGGAACGGGATTGCGTTCTAGGGCTGTTCTGGGCGCTTTGCTGTGTCTCGATCCGCGATGCAGCTTTGGATTGCCGAGTTGTGTAGCTCAACCGCTGCTGATCCTGAGGTGAAGATCCTTGCCGCTGAGTGCCCTGGGTCTGACTTCGCAATGAAGGAGAATCGCTGTTGGATTGTCGTCCTTGCTGCTGGTTGATCAGGCGGACTGGTTGGGCCCTGCGGTCCTGGACAGGTGCCTCATTTGCCTCCTGCAATTTTCTCTTTTGTGCCTTTTCTTTCCGTAGTCGCGACATTTTCTTAAACCTCTCGATATCCTCCGCCATCTTCGTCTCCTTCGCAGCCTGTTCTTCCATCTGTATCTCTAGCCTGGACATCATCGCGGACCTCGCCCTTGCCATGACCAGCGCTTTTTCTTGGTTGGTAGGTGCTTGGTATGCCATTTGCTCCGCCATCGTAAGCGCCGGGGTGGGGAGTGGACCTGTCGTTACTGCAGTGCTACCAGCAATGTTCGTCACCTCCACGTTCTCCCCCAACGCAGCCACAAAGGGCTCCTGCTTCATCCTTTGGTTCGACTTCTTAGGCATAATGGGTTCTATTTTGACATACGCGCTCTCCTCCCCGAATCTGGAGACATCGCTCTCGGCCGGTGTTGAATCCTGATGCTGCGATACATCGTTGAACGATCTGGTATCCGCTATTGCGCTATGGTCTGGGGAGTCCAATAGACGAGATGGCTGCCGATCCGCAGGGCCTACTGCTACTGCCCCAGGGCTACTCAGTGGCGAGAGCAGTGGCGACCGCTTTGTTACATGTGGACTCATGTTAGGTGGGGCCAATGGAGAGCTGCTTGTTGGGTTCAAGGGTTGAGCAGGAGTAGGTTGAGGTGTTTCTATGTCAGTGACGCTCGATTCCATCTTACGAGATGGTAGGGCTCCGTCTGATAATTTTCGCCGCCGAGTAAACGTATCCTCTGACCGATCGTCTGCTGATAAGGATAAAGCAACTGTCCGCTTCCCGAGAACAGAAGGTTCAGCATCTTGAGCAGATGTCTTGATGGGAGCTGAAGTTATCAGTGCAGCTGCAGGTGCCGATTGAGACTTGCCGTCTGGTGTCGAGTCACCAACAATCTGCTGCACATCTGTCGTCTTTTCCTCTTCGTTCGATAGGATGAGGTTGGGCGGTGAGACATTCACTGGCGGGTAGGAGAGCGTTGGTGGAAGAGCAAGAGGTACAGCTGAGCGGGATGTTCCTGCTGGGGTAGGTGTATGAGCGGGAGTTGGTGTTTGCGGTTGGTTTTCGTGCGCTGCAGATGAAGCCCTCTGAGCTGCGACAGATACGCTCTCCATCACGTTCGTCGAATCTTCTGCTATGTCCGCAACCTTAGGAGCTGTTGCCACTGCTGGTGTTGCGGGTACTTCCTTTGCGCTTTCGGTAACGGACAGGGAGCTCTTCCGTGAAACGGACGATGTGGATCGCGGCGAAGTGCTTCCCGCAATCGAATCCCTGCTGTCGCGCCTTTCACCTCTAAATGTTTTGGTGCCTTTGTCTCCCAGCGGAGCTCTAGGAATAGGTGATACTGTCATCCACGACTTAATTGGCTGCAAATGTTCTGGAACTTGTGAGAGCTTTAGCGGGTTCTTGGCAATTGTTGCTGACGGTGGAGATGAAGATGCCGGAGCCGACGAAGTTCCCGCAGGTGTACCAGTCGGAGGAGGCGTCAATTTGTTGCTTGATGCTTGAGTAACGGATGTGGCAGAAGAATTTGCTGAGGAGGGACTGGAGCTGTGATCTTGTTCGGATGTTTTTGCGCTGCTAATGGCTGCTGCTGCAGACTGCGACGGTGTTTGGTCAGTGGAGGATTGCCGCGATTGGACGGGTTGAGGTTTTGGTGGTAAAGGATGGGAGAACGCCCCCGAGATAGCCGTCGGTTGTGAGTTCGAGGAGCCATGATCATCCATAGATGACTTGTGCTCACGATCTCTCCTGGAAAAGTACCCAAGTGAACCTGAATGACTAGAGACAGAAGGCGATTGCAGATAGTGGGAGCTGAGCGAAGGGGTCAACGGTGGCGGGTGGCTCTCAGGATGGGTGCTGTTGATAGAAAGTGGTCGTACAGGGGGGCGTGGTTGAGCTGGGTGTGAGGACGATGCAGCACTTCCATTTGAGGACGCCCCGGCCTCTCTGGCCTTCCACTGTGTCCTGATATGATCGATTTGTGACTCCAACTATTCGCCCGCGCCATAAAACATTGTACAGCGTTAGACAGTTTGGAAGAAGGATTTGTTAAGAAGATAGCGATGGACATGAGATCTACGGCAACGAACCTGCTCTTTTGTAACAATGGTCTCCGTTCCTTTCACAAGTGCCAATACTGCGGTCTCGTCATCAATGTCCTTTTTGTCATCCCGAATACGATAGAATCGCCAGCCACCTGTCCGTGTCTCCAGACCATAGCCCTTCTCAAACATTTGTGTCGGCCATTGCGGGTCCCACCTATATGATGCGAGTGTCGCGTGTAAGCAATGGAAAATCGTGAAAGGGGCATAGTGATAAAGACAGCTGCCCATCGTACCAAAACTCGGCAATCTTTCCATCTGGCGAGGAGTTGTGCCATCTAAATAAGTTGAATATTGGAGAGGTATTTGGGTGAGCGATACCATGCAAGGATAGCCGGCAATACCTTCTATGAACATCCCACGTGGACCGTGCATTCATATAGCTTACTCCAGTGCAAGGGCTGGTTCCGGCGTTACATAGTCGTGAAACTTTGATCCTGTTCCTTGCTTCACATGTATACAGTACAGGGGTTTCCGCTCCTTGCTCATGGACACCTTGATCAGAAACTGCGCCGTTGTATGGGATTTCCACTTTAATCTATGAATATTATATATATTCGGAAAGGCGAAATAGCATATTAGCGCAATAAAGTAATACATCGCAGCCAATACCTCGAACTAGAGCTTAAGAGAGTATTGCCTACAGCTTAGGGCTTGTTCCTGGTACATATGGCTGTTTCACTGGGGCAAATATCAAGCCCTCGCCTCCGTGCTTATGTCGCTTGCTGCCAGCTAAAATGACATTAAGTCCATATGATCGCTGCATTATCTTGCGCTCGATACTAAAAGAGAGTGAAGCAAATAAAAACACCGTTTTCTCTTTTAGCAATTCTTAACGTTCCCATCGAGCGAGATATTGCACGAATATCGCTGTTCAGAAGCCTTACGTGAACGGTTCCTTAGCTTTCACCTCGTTTGCCTTGCTTGTTTGCACCGCAATAACATCTTGATCCATCATCTAGAGGCAGCAAAATATGGGTTACATTGGCAGTTCGGTAAAATGAATTCCAAGTGGTCAATTACAGCATCCGTCTTCAATTTACCCCTAATCGCGTGCTGTAGGATCTCTGGGTGACGACAGCTCCATTGAGCGCCATTAGGTCGAATACGAGGAAGCGAAGTGTCTTCTGCGAAATGGAGTATGAGAAGCATAAAAGAGAGAGAGATGAAGAAGTGAGTACATTCTACAAGGTTAATAAAAAAAATAAAAAAAAAACTGTCTCGAGTTCGTTCAATGTTCATACCTTGCTTCCATCGTTCTCCACCACCATTTCTCCATCGAGCAGCGTTTCGTTTTGATATTTTGTTGGATTGTCCCGCAGCGGGAGAAGCAGATGAGGTACAAATGAAATCTCATAGTGTCGGTCAATCTATAATGAGCACCGAGCAGACAAGGTCGTGTTAGAGGTCGATGATTATGAACGCAGCTTAGATACGTTTGAAGCCGTTGTGACGCACCAGAAAACATGCCGGTCCCTTTTGGGTGTGTGTGCTTAGGAGCATGTAGCGTACACCGGCGACCTTCTCCAAGACAAAGTACTCTTCGTTGGCCAGCAGTTGTAGGTGAGATGGCTCAAATGGAACTGGATATGAGCCAGGAAACCTGCGACAGCGACAATGAAGTTTACAGATAAAAGGACGACGTCAATATCCTTGAATACGATTTCCTCCATGAGTCCAACTCACCCGCTTTATTGCTGAGTGCTGCTTCTCTGTCTGTCTGTCTGTCTGCCTGTCTGTCTGCTTGTCTGCCTGCCTACTTGTCGGATATGTGATGTTGTCTGAAGCCTAATTGTCCTATACCATTTTTGTTTTGATTGTCCACATCCATGGAGTATGGGTACTTGTCTTTCTACAGTTTAACGACTACACTCCATGCTGCTGAGTACATCTTGATATATCAGACATCCGCTTCCTGAGTCCCGCCTTCAGATCCACGAATCATCCATGTTTCGAAAGCAATTGTTGATACTATCTGCCGAGGACAGGCTCCAGGGTGGGATAAACATGAAACGAAACACAGTTCAGGTACAGTACTTGTCAGTCTTTGCATGCAGAAGAGACCGGATCCTGTCCTGTAAAGTCTTGCGGGTGACCGGATCGATCGGCATGCCAATCTCGAGCGGCATCTGTGGTATGGAGGTGCGCAGTGTCAGGCTCATGGACCTTTATTGAATTGCGGCAAGTTGGATTGCCCTTTGGATCTGACAGCACACGTATTCACAGAGCGAGAGGTGTTGCAGTGCCAGTGTTGAGAGGCATGAAGTGCCAGTGTGCGTTGTTGTTTGCTGAGGTTGTTGCCTGTGCTGTAGTTTCCGATCTTGGCTTGCGTCTATGGGATCAAGAAGAGAAAGAGCCAGAGAGATGAGTTGATTGCGCGGCTGGTTTGCCATGGCGTGCCAAGGCGGGGTTGCAGAAGGAGGGCCTGTTGACGCGTTGAACACTGATATTTTGCCACTGAAGTCGGCTCTTGTGTGTGCAATGTGTCCGGTAACCTTCGCGCTGGTTAGTACGTACAGTAATTAAGAGAGAATGGCGATGAGGAAGCGCGCAAGCCAAGTAAGAACGATGTGGGCCAACGGTAAAAAAATAAAAAAGGGAGAGGGTGCGGACGAGTGAACAAGGAGTAGAGGGATGTTTGGGTTGTTTGTACAGTTGCAATTGAAAGAAATGATAATAATGAAAATAAGGATAGTAATAACAATAGCATTAGTACCCTGCACCACAGTGCATCGTTCTGGGCTGAGAAAGAGTGGACAGAGTGAAAGGAAAGGATGGACCAGCAAAAGGCGTGATGGTGTTGGTGGATGGAGGTTGTCAAAACATTCATTTTTTTTTCCGAGAGCGCGTTGTTGACCTATCGTATCACAGCACGACAGCCAACTACAGCTGCTCAGAGGTGGCGTGCAGACACCGACTATATAGCCGCTTCGGATAGAGACATACAGTGTATAGAGGCAAATCGCGTATTTGGACAAACGCAAGGGACGACTACATCTCAAGGTACATCTAGGTACATGAGTGTGTCTATGGAAACCTTCCGATAAATGGATGACAGGGTCTTTATTTGCATCGATAAAATTCTATAGATAACTTTAGTCGCAGTCATAATACTTGGGACCTGCATCCATGCATTGGTGTACTCGTTTGAGAATCCCGACCACTTTCCCAGCCTCCTATAGCAAAAATAAGCCCTGCGCTTGTGTACGGATGATTCCTTGCTGTGTTACTCATTACGACTTCGCCCATGGAATATCGTCCATCGTGAGTTATGTTTTGAGGTGAAGAGTAGGAGAAAGTGGAAACTCCAATGGTTTTACTGACATTGCGTGCACCTCAGATGCATAGACACACTTGATGGACAATCTTTCTGAAGAGAAAGCATCGATTCGCACGCGTATCCTGCCTGGAAAGCGGACGAAGCATTGCACAACATGGTGCGAATACTCTTTTACTTTTATTGCATTTGCGCAAAAGTAGATAGAGAAAGTGCGGGAAAGTGTTGAACTGCGAGGTTGCTGACGGTTGATACTTGCCTAACTATCGCAAGAGATCGAGGCGGCACTACAATCATCAAGGCTTGTATTTTGGGAAGCTGTTCTTGCTCCTGCTAATATGAGGCTGCAGTGGAACTCAAGTGTTTAAATGCCTGTGTGAGTCAGTATCTGCCACAAGAGTGCTGTGTCCTAGGCGAACTGCGTACTTGTTGGACAAGCGGGAGTAGGGTGCCTGCTGAGATACCACACAGTCCCATGGCGAACGTGTTTTTCTAATTAGATAAATCAAAGCGCTACAGCATGAGACGGTGCAATTTGATGCAGTAGTTTATGCTCTCAATGCAAACGTTTATCTGTCTGTATCCACGACCGGATTGACATCTCCGGCGCCGGCTCTTGTCGCGTGGGAACCGCTGAATTGTGTGAATGACGGTGACTGCTATGTTACGTTGAAAAAGAAAACATATACTTTACTTCACATCTTTGGCCCTTCCCTTGAACCACAGACGGCACGGCAATAGCGGCAGTAACAACAAGTAAGTGTTATCATAAACAACAAGTCAGCGCCAGAGCACCAACGACCTTTCTAAGGCTATCTTCGTTTCACCCTGACAAAGATCGATAGGGCACCATGACATGGATATCAGTCGTCCTGGGAACGGGCTCCCGAGGCACCAAGGCTCGACTTTCAACACCCCGCGTGGTTGAGCACTGGGGATCAAATGCTTTTATGACAGCAGTACTTCCATCACCCAGAATCATAGCAATGACCATGCCACGGAACAGGATCTTTCTGCAGTCGCCTCATTGTCGCATGCGTCGTCATTGGATCCACTCTTCTCCCAGGACTCGTTCAACAGAAACTACGGTCGTACAGCCATCCAGAACCACCAATTTGAACTCGACCAGCACCAGTACGACCAATACTGTAATCGATGCTAATACTGTAACGGCCCCTGCAGTGCTACCAAATAAATCAAGGAGAGGTGGTCATCATCCTCGGATAACGTACATCTGGACGCCTGAGATGGATAGGCAAATCATCGACATGCGACTCGAGGGAGACACCTGGCAGGAAATAGGCGCTGCTCTCGGACGGGACTTTAAAGCCATCCGCCTACGGTACAAAAAGGAGCTGGATCCGGCCCTGCTTCGAGACTGGACACCCGCCAAGGTCGAGTACCTCAACACCTCGGTAACTCAAGGAAAGAACTGGCGTCAGATCTCCGAGGAACTGTTGATGACACAGTCGGCCTGCCGTGAGAAATGGCTGAGCGTCAACCCGCAGATGGCGCTGCAGACCAAGGTCAAACCGCGACCTCGACCAAAGGCTATCGTGAGGTCAGTTGCGTTTAAGGAGTCTGGATTGGTTGGGACAAGACGATATAAGTGGTGCGATCAGATGGATGCCTTGATGTTGAGTCTTAAGGATCGTGGGCTGAACTGGAGGCAGATCGGATCGGCCTTCGGGATGGTACCTATGACATGCTACATGCGGTATCGGCATCGATTAATACCTAGGCTCAAATCGGGCTGGGCGCCTCCCAAACTGGATACATCCAACGCGCCATACTACTTACTGCCGAATCGTCATCGACCAGACCCCAACGCTAGCGCATGTGCAGCTGAGACAAGCACCGAAAACAACAGCACGGATAATAGCACCATCGATAGCAACAGTGTTTCAACAGATGATCCCGATTCGATATGTGATCGGCCATCTATCACAACACCGTTGGGGGCGGTGAGCAATGATTTTTTGTACAACACATTCGACCAGCCACCATTACATCCGAGGACATGGACAAAGGAAGAAGACGATTATATCATTAAGAGTCGCGAAGAAGATGCATCGTTCAAAGCGATTGGCATACATCTCAACCTAGAACCTCGAGACTGTTCCCATCGATACTACTCTACTCTTTATCTTCCATCCAAGAACAAGGAATGGACGCATGAGCTTGTCGAGAAACTCCTTTACTATGTCGAGCAGGGGCTCGGCTGGACTACTATCGCCAATGATCTGGGCATTCATCGCATTGTCTGCAAGGAAAAATACAGGGAGCTCACGCAGCCAGAAACGTCGTCGTCTTCGACCAAATCACGAGATGCCATCGCCCAGAATGCGAAAGGCCATACCTCCATAGCTGCCACATCAAGTTATCCAGGTCCCGACATGGTAGAGGACAATGATAACGAGGATGTCCTGGAAGAGTACGAACGCGATGAGGACCATCTTGATCAGCAAGATGACAATATCATAGACGAACTGCGAGGCGACTACAGGTCCGACTATGACGGTTATGGCGACGACGATGGCGATGATGATGATGATGATGATGATAGCGGAGACGACATGCTGGATGTTGATGTACCGGAGGATGGAGAGGGCTTCACGGACGATGATATCATTCGCACAGGCAGATGGTCTAAGAAGCAGAAGCCCATTTCGCCTTCGACGACAACCGTTCACGATGTTTGGGACCGGGAATCGTTTGTGAGGGAGGTCAAAAAGAGATGGACACCAGAAGAGGAGACGACCTTGATTCAGCATGTCATCAGGAATGGAACACGCGCCTGGCAGGAGATTTCTGATGCACTGGCCGGGCGCCATTCTGCGGAGGAGTGCCAGGGCTATTGGAAGCATCTTGATATGCCTGTCCGTCGCGCTGAGAAGCAGTCGTACAAGTGGGAGCCCCACAAGGAGGCCCTCTTCTGGAGACTGTGGCTCGAGAGTGGATCTGATTTTGACGAAATATCAAGGAAGCTCTGCAACTTCAAGGGATTTGAGGGTGCAGGAGCATTACAGTCATCCGACCAAGGACAGTCATCGACATCGAGTAGAATTACTATTCAGGACTGCGAGGAGCTCTTCACTCAGCGGACGCAACAATTGCGGAAGGTGGCCGGAGAGCAGCAGGACGACGAAGTGTTCCGAAATGACTGTGTTGAGATGGCATTGATGCTCAGCAAACCTTCACCTTTCAAATGGGACAAGGAAAAGTCAGTCAAGCTGCAGAAACTCGTTCGACAGCGCCTCAAGTCGCGAGATATTCAGGTTAATTGGATTAACTGGAGATGGGTGGCTCGCCATGTTGGTGGTGGTGTGACCGCACAGCGCTGTTGTGTTCACTGGAGGCAGTTGAGGAAGGTGGAGATTGACAAGGAATCCTGGACCGACGAGGACATCCTGCTGCTGGAACAAGGCATTCGGGAGATCGGCCCGACTTTCAACCACCCCGACAACCAGTCCACTTCATCGCCTCCCTCTGCCACTGCTGCTGCAGCGGTATCAGTTGATAATTCTGGCAGCAGCTCGGAGCCGAACCTGACAGGATTCCGCGCCATCCAAAGGTTTTATCTTCCGGATCGCAGTATTGAGGCTATGCAGCGAAAGTACTTTTTGCTGTCTGATAAAGGATCGACCGTCACAATGCGCGAGTATATGTCCGTCATGGATGCAGTGGACGAGTACGGCTTGGATCAATGGGACAAAGTGGTCGAAGCCCTGAAGTCGTCTTTATCATCGTCCTCACCCTCAGCATCAGGGGCACAGGGGTCAAGTTTTGTTGGTTGGACGAAAGCGCCATGTCGCCGTGTGTGGGAAGCGTCATATAGGCACCACCTGCTATATACCCCATGGACCTTCGAGGAGGACCGGGATCTGAAGGAATCAGTTGATCGGATTGGGCTGCAGGAATGGGTGGCGGTCTCGCGCTTCTTCCCTGGAAAGTCGGCCTGGCAATGTCGCCTACGCTGGTGCCAACTGACGGATCCTATCCAGCCAGCACAATCCGCTGCGCCACTTCCAGACCATCTTTAGATTCTTCAACAGAGAGCTCAGCAGAATCTCCAGCACCATTTTCAGTAGAGACCTCAGCAGAGTCTTCGGCACAGTTATAGCTTCACTCCCTTTGCATCGTACAATTTGAACATCTTTTATGCTAATAAAAAGGCCCATCAACATAGCACCTTTTCTTCACTTTGTCGCTAGTAATATGTTTATTGGCATTATGTTACACGGAAGGGATGGTGAAGATGAGGAAAGGAGACGGAAAATGCATCAAGAAACTGCACGGATAAACTTGAAGTTTTGGGCCAGGTGTGTATAAAAGTTGAAGATAACGAGCAGCACCAGCAAGAATTCCAGCCCGACCATGGCACCCTGCCTCCGACACAGCTTTCCATGCAAATGTTCGTCCGCAATGTCCTGTTTCCATGACCTGTCGATCTGGCGCTGACCTGCTGCTGTGCATCCATACGTCCAGACGTAGATATAAATTGAGATACTCAGAACCTGCGCCCAGATGATGGAGGCAATGATTTCCGTGAAGATGACAATTAGGGGCTTTGAGTTCGAGCTGTCGAGCCCCTCGGGCGGTCGTCGGGACTCCAGAAAGATAGTGAAGCAAGAATAGGCGATGGTGAGGATTGACAGAATGACAGTGAAGATTAAGACAGCGTTATCATTCGAGAGCTGTGTCTGATGGTCAGGGGTCTTAATCAGGATGATGATCGCGTCCAGAGCGATGGCAAATAGGGACACGGCCGTCATAACGGTCAAGGTCTTTAAGAAATTGGAGAACAAGGGCGAGTTGAGGAAGGCCTTCATGGATTCGAGATTAAAGGCTGTGTTCTTGGTTGTGTTGGGTTCTTGGGTCAAGGGTAATTCTGTGTCCTTTTCATCCCAGGCTGTGTGTTCGGGTGGCTCGGTCGAGATGCATTGACCCGTGGGGTATCCTCGCATGGCTTCCATGGACTCTTTTCGGTTCCGTCGCTTTGATCTCGATGTGTCCAATCCTATGCCTGGACCTCCTCGCCTGTGCTGTGGACAATTACAGGTACAGATGTTGCTGTTATTGCTGTTGATACTGTTGTTGTCGACTATATCCCCATTAGTGACAACATGTCCCGTCGACTTCGTCTTGAAGATCTCATCCAGTTTGAGACCAGGGAGCTTTCGCAGGTTCGAAACGGCAGTGGAAGGACTGGTGTCTTTACTACCAGAGGTCGGTGCTGTTGTTGCTGTTCCTCCTGGAGCGAAAGTGCCAAGGTATCTGCGAGAGAGGTCAGAGATGGTCGAGACGTTGCTCATGGTCGCGAAGACGGACCAATCCTGCGAAGAGCTTCTCTTAGAGGATACTGAAGAGGCCGAGGCGAGGTGCTGTGACGAGTCTGTTTGAAGAGGTTTTGTTGTGGAGGTACCTGACCTGCTATTGCTAGCAAAGGGGCTGATGCTGTTGGCATTAGAATCCAAGCCTGGCGCTGGAGCCGAGGCTGAGGGGGTGCTATTTGGGAGGAGGAGTGTTGGAGGCGAGGCTACTCCTGGAGGGTAGGAATGGGTTGGATCGTGTTCAAGCACCTCTGGCAGTCTATCGAGTCTGGTAGTGTGTTGTTGCTTCTGTTGTTGCCCCTGGTCATGCTCCGCCCAGCTATTGATGACAAAAAAGAGGAGTTGTACGCGGGTTTAGCATGGGTGGTATGTGGCTATATCAGTGATAGCATCTAGGAGGAAAGAAGGGGAAGAGGTAGAAGGGGCGATTGACATACAACGGTAGGGTCGAGACAGCGGCCTTCTTGAGGGTCGCCTTTTCAAAGTCCATATACTCTTCTGCTGGCCCGGGTGAATGAGGAGTGGAGTGGAGGAAGGAGTAGAGTGGAGGAAGGAGTGGATGCCGGAGTGGAGGAAGGAGTGGATGCCGGAGTGGAGGAAGGAGTGGAGGAAGGAGTGGGGTGGAAGAAGGAGTGGAGTGGAGTAAGGAGTGGAGGAGGAAGTGGAGTGGTGGGAGGCACAAAGCATATTTTGGGTTTTTTGGGTTGGAGAACTTGGGCGAGGGACGAAGATGAGGTCATGATTCGCCTCAAAAACCTTGCTGGTGTTCAAACCCGTAACTGAACCAGCCAGGGTCGAAGAACTATAGAGTCATCGACCCTTCACTGGATGCCTTCCCTCGTTCTACCTGTTGGACTGTGAGCAAACAAGCAAGCAAGGACTAAAGACAAAGGAGACGTATGTCTGAATAGTATTAATAGTATTGTCTATGTTGTCAGCATAATCTAGTAGCCTATGCTTCCTTATATAAACGCGCCGCGTCCTCCCTCGCCCTGACGACCGACCTCCTCCATAACCTGCTCCTTACGCGTAAATTCCACCAGGAAGCTAGCAAGACTATAGGTCGAATTGCTCTCCGCCTCAACAGAGTCCAGCGCATGTCCTGTGCCCTCAAACATCTGGATCCTGTTCACTGCTCCCTTGATCTTCTCACGTCTAATCCTGTTCTGTCGCGCCTGCCACCACGAAATACCCTGACTAGGAGGCACACGACGATCGCCCGATCCAAGCAACATCAGTGTCGGAGCCACCACCCTCTCTACATGCTCCATTGGAGACGCAGCCCTCAATTTCTTAAACACCTCCTGGTCAGCAAGCGTGGCTAAAGGTGGCGAGGCCATATCGAACGACAATCCAGTAACCGCATAACCCCACTCGCCAATGTCCGAGATGGCAGTAAGCGCAGGAATGTCTGTCACAGGGTTGCGGAACACCGCGGCTTTGTAGCTGGGATCCTTCAGTAAATGGCCCACGATGAATCCGCCGTGGCTTCCTCCTGTAAGGGCGATGCGTTCACCATCGACCCGGCCCTGAGAAATGATAAAGTCGCGAACAGCCTGGCATTCGTTGACATCCAGCTCGCCCACTCGGCCAACTAGCGCCTCGACATTGTCCTGGCCAAATCCAAGACTGCCCGTAAAGTTGACTAGACGCGTTCAAGGAGCATGGCCTTTAGTAAGTCGGGATGCATGAAGTTTGTGAAGAAAAAAATTTGTCGAATGAATTCATACCATTGGCGACTGCAAAGCCGAGACTCAAAAGGACCAAGTTGAGCACCGAAAACTCGGCCGCAAATCCAGAATGGGGTCCGCCATGAGGAAAGATCACCAACGGCGGCTTAGATCCACTCACAGCACTCTTGTTCTGGGCATCTGCATCACTACCAGACCTAAACGGCTCCAGATAAAGAGCCTCCAAACTCTCTAGCTGACCAGGAATATTATCCACGAGCGACCATGCATGCGACTCATAAAACGGTCTGGCCTTGACATTCTTGGCTTTCTCTAACTTGAAAAAGCGTACCTTGAGGCCTGCGGAGTGGTCCTTGTCAGATGCGTCGATCTGACCTAAAAGCAGCACCCATGGCTCCACAGGAGTCGAATAAGTTGTCAAAACCCAGCGCGCATCGGCATAAAGAGCTGTGGTTGATCCTGGGTGTTGCACCTTAGGAGTCAGCTCCTCTATAGCTCCCGATTCGATGTCGATTGAGAGCAGCGTGCGACGTGAGCACCAGGCAGAAGAGGTAATGATCTTTGTAGACGACACCCAGAGCTGCTTGGGAAGTTGGTCAATATATAGTCCTGGGAATCCGGTCTTTGTATCAGCCTTGTGGACGAAATCAACGACGGTAGAGACCTTCCCGGAGGCGATATCAATCTTTTCGTCCGGAAAAGAAAAAGGAAATGAATACGATGGGTTAGCTACAAGAAACTTGACTATGTATGTGTCTGTAGGATATTATTATCGACGTCGTACTTTGCACAGCTTGGCACAGCTAGCATGAGGTCCGTTAACCGCGTTTGATAAGAAGACCTATGTGATAATAAAACAATTAAAAACAGGTCAATATGATTTTCGTCATCGCGAAGGACTACCGCGATGACAGATTGGCAATGTAGACCTCATAGTATTACCAAAGTCGATCCATCTTTGTTCAGTCTAGGAGACCTTGCACTCTTGAGCTCATCCGTTAAGGTCTTGAAGTCGGATCCGTCAATGTTGACCTGATACAGGCCAGTACTGCAGATATCGTAGCAATATCCAAAGTCAGTTAAATGTCATGCCGTAGCAGTACGGCGCATGGCTCAGTATATGGACGGGATTATGCAGCCATTTCACGTACAGTCTGTTTTGACAGTAGACGATGCCAAAGAATTGAGGGTCGCGGTGGTAACCAGTAAAGATGAGAGAGTTGGAGTCATGAGAGAAGATGGCCTAATGGTATATAGTTCATGAAGAGGGCAGATCGTGTTCAGATCATCACATCTTGCGGATAGCTCTCTCACGATAACGTGTTGACGAGTGGCCTCTTACCTGTCCAGGGCTCATGTCTCCTTCAAAGCGATCCAGGGCTTTCACCTCAAAGTTGTCAAGGTTGACAACCACAAGCGTTGGTTCGCGCTTTCCCGTAAAGGTCTCTCCCCAGTCTGGTCTGTAATTGTATTTCTATTACAAAACACGAGTCGCTATTCCGTCAATAGTTTGCGGACGGAGGGAAACATCAGCAGTTCTTTTTCAGCGAACAACACTTACCTCGACTGCATCTTCAGATTTCTTACGCTCTGCAACATAAACAATTTTGGTCTCATCGCGGGACCACTCAAGCGTGCCAAATGTTGAATCGGCATAAAAGTCATCGTGACTTGAAGTAGTCTCCAAAAGATGAAGGATGGAGCCCTCGGACCAGATCTACACACGCATATTCGTTTGCGAGCCGGTTAGCAGACAGGTTATGCGAGGCTGGGCGTATCATATCGCTCTCTTCATTTTTCCTTCCTTCACCTCAACAAAATGCTTTTTCTTTTCACCAGCGACAGAGCGGAGGACGACTGTGAGATTGCCCGAGGGTGACACGGCCTGGGCAATAGCATCACCCGTGTCAATAGAAGGACCGGTAAGGATCAGAGGTTTAGACTTCTCTTGGATTGAGGCCACAACCGTACGGGTGAACTTGCGCCTGACGTTTCTCTCGAGGTCTCTTTGTGAGAGCGACACCTGAATATCTGAAGAGGCGACGTGATGATAACAAGACCGTTAATTACTGCCTGTTTCAATTTGTTCAGGTACAAGCTGCGTGTGTCGCCAATACACTTACTGAGGGTGTTCTCAGTGGAATTGGGTAGGACGGTGGCATCTGTGTAGGAGGGGATGGAAGCGAGCGCCTTAAAGATTTCCTGTGGGGTGGACATGGTGAGAAATGAGAAGAAGACTGATGGCGTGTGAAAGAACTTGAACTTCGTTCTTCAAAGGGAACCCAGCAATTATAAATGAGGCGATCGTTCGAACCTTATTTAGATGCTGTTTATGGAAACGAAAAATCAATTGGGGCAACACTTGGACGCTACAAACGGTACACTTTTATCGCTTGACATCAAACCATCATGGCCAGCGCCATCTGGAAAACCTTCTTCGGTACACGCGACAACCCTGAGGACTTGCTCGAACCCGCCAGCCTCTCTGAGGACGCCTGTGGCAGTCTCGTTCACAGCCTTGTTCGTCTCGGCTACCTAGCCAATATCTCGCTTTCACTCGATGGAAAGTCATTCATCACCCATGAACAGCTCATCCAGGACATCCTGATCCAGCTGAAGAAGCGTCATGGTAAGCATACAAATGCAATATCAAGAGGAAAAAAGACGAACAAGTTGAAATAATACGGCCTTTTTGGGTTGCTATAGGTCGCGTCAGTTTGTTGGACATGCCAAAAGTCCTGAACGCCAGCTTGTCTGATATCGAGGATCGCATTAAAGAGTTGGTTCGTGCGAAGCCCGGTACAGTCGTACTTGTCCAGGATGAGCTTCTTCAAATGTAAATCTCCTTTCAACTGTCGCAAATGTCAAATGTATAATTGGTTTCAGTCCTCACAAAAGCTGACTTCTTTTCATCTTCTTCGACACAGGGAGTATCTCGACAGTATGACTGAACAGATGACAAAAGAGTTAGACCAGCAAGGATATCTGACAATTGCAGATCTGTGTCGAAAGCACAAGCTGGCCATCGATTTCATGAGACAGGTATATGGTATGAACAGCCTTGCTTGACAATTAACAGGACAGCAAGGCACATTTCTCACACCTTGACTTTTTGAATAACTCTATATAGTTTTTAAAAGATCGCGTCGGAGGCGTTATCCCAGGACAATGGGACACTATCGACCGCGGCGTTATTATCTCACCTTCATTCTTGGAGAAAGAAAAGACAACCCTACTGAAAATATTAGATGAACTGGAAGAGTAAGTAGATATATCTCTATGTAAAGTGCGCGGAAGCGACATGGCAATTGGTCAAGCATCACGGACGCTCGCTTATTTCTGCTCAATTGAACAGGCCCACAAGTTTGCAGTCGCTGCGCTCGCGGCATGTTGTTCAGGACCAACTTTTTTACGGACTGTGCGACTTACTTTCCAGGGAGGGTGGACTCCCTGGCTTATTCAAGGGTACTAATGAGCAGGGCGTCTTTGTGCCGAGACCCTATGAGCAACATCAAACTGAATGGATCGAGACATTTTTCAAGAACAATGGATTTATAGGTAAAGTGGTCATTTTATGGTCATCCAAATCTGTTCTGATTAAGGCATGCTCGCAGCAGGCGTGTGAATCTAAACTGCCGTCCATTATACTTGTTTATGGGAAACAGAATTTGACTCGGTCAAGAAACGTGGGATGGCGGATCCTAAAGCGTACGTGCAAACAAACCACCCAATAGCTCTTCTTCTGGAGACACATGCCGTCAAAGATAGTATCTGGTCCATTATCGACGCCAGTGTTGAAGACACTATTTCCAACTTATCATGGATCGATGTTAAGGTTTGTACATGGAAATACAACTTGAGGACTCTTTTTGTCATGTCGCAAATCCCAGCTAAGACCATTTCTCTTTATTGTAGCCGCTCTTGCCCTCGCCCTTAACCAAAGACGACATTGCAAGTTTGCTCCGACAGCTTCCCAGTCTTGCAGAACCTACCTTTCGCATCGCTATATCCCCTGACCAAGACCAATCCTTGACAGGATATGGTGGTGGTTCTCCGCAGGAGACCTTTATCATCCAAGACAGTATTGTCATCACCTCAGGGCAACTGCAGAAATGTCTCTTGAAAATGGGTCCCCTTTTGGACCGCAGTCTCAAAAACATGGTCTCCTGGCGATTATCTTTTGGCACAAACGAGCAATTGGAAGGCCAAGATCCGGACAATGAAAACAGGGTCAGCAATTTTGGGGAGCGGGTCTCTCATTTTAAGGGCGTAATGGAACATGCCTTCAATGCACATCCGGGCCCACAGCGGAAGAACATCAAACATGCAAAAGGCAGCGCTGGGAAGCAAGATGGGACCAAGAAGCAGATTCAGGACTTTTTGACGATTCAGGATGTCAGGGAAGAGATCAAGAAACTTGAACCGGATTTTGACCCCGTACTGGTGAGTGCTGTTTCGGGAGCATTGTACAGAGACTTGGTGGAGAACTTGAGAGACAGGAATCGGTCCATGGTTCTAAATCAGGTGCAGGAAGTCGAGAAGGAGGAAGATGACCTCGTCAAGCACGATGTGACCGATACGTCTGGAGAAGGCGTGCCAATGTTGGCAGCCATCCGATCTCTGTCAAAGCGCATCGAGCTGTCGTCAACAGGCATCGACATTTTTGAAGGTAATCACAATCCGATCGCAAAACGAACGCAGGACACGATGAATTCCCAGCACAACTACTAACCGATATATGTCGTTCTGTAAACTAGATCCATCAGCAAAGAACTCTCTAAGCAAATATCTTCTGCAGTCATGGTGTGTCGAGCTGCTGGATCTGATTACTCTATACCTGTCTGACCTGGACAAGACTTCATCTATCATTACGCCTTCAGATGCCATTGAAACGCGTGAACGAGTCAAAAAAGCTTACAACGAATTTCAGAGCCAGAGCAATAATGCATCCAGCATACAAGGTCCGTTTGTCATTTCCGTAGAAGATAGGATAGCACTGTTGAAACTGGTGCCGCAAGATAAGGTTGAGCCCCTCGAGAAGATGCGCAAGTTGACTGCTGGCAGCGGCAAGCAAAAGAATTTGGCCGAATACGTGGACATGCTGTCCTTCCTCTTCCGGGATGAGAATCTCGACCTGAAGGCCACTGGTACCGGTAGCATGGACAATAGGTTAGTTCGAGGGACAGGCTGTAATATTTGTATTTTGTGATGATCGAACGCTAACCAAACATCCGTTTTTGGGATACTCGGTGGTATAGTCAGTGGAGGAGGGAACACGTGGAGGAACTTCGCAATATTTTGATCGGAATCCACCCTTTCGCGGACCCAGCGTTGATGCTCCACATCGTCACTCTTATTGTATTTCAAAAGTGGACCGGGCGTATGCTTCATGCCTCCGGGAAGCACGTCCCGCGTACCTTGAGACAACTTCGGTTGTCGGTCGAGCAACAGCGACCGCCAGTGCGAATGAGTGCTTCAGAGCAGGAAGTTGCCATATTGCAGTTGAATCTTCTGGAGGAGATGCTGAGCTTAGTTTTATCGAGCGTCAAGCAGCAACAACAGGAAGCAAGCGAGCATAAAGGTGCACAGGAAGATTCACGTCGAAGCTGGCAGGCAGTATATGACCTTGGAGTCATGTTATCCAGTTCCATGCAATAAAAGCAGAAGACGGTTGCCATTGTACATCTCTGTTTATTATGCAGGTCCTTTTGATGTGCTGGAAGTTTTTGCGCCTCTTCTAATAAGCCAAATAGGGCTTGTTCGCTAGGCACCATCCCTGCAACCTGTCCCAGAACTCTGTCACTACCGCCCTATCCGCATGCCGACGATGACGGTTCAACTAGCAATTCGAAAGAAAGATATCATATGTTAGTTACAAAGTGACCAGCCGTGTCAATATCGCAAATGCCATGAAAAAGAAAGAAAGGAGTACGGCGCGTCATACACTCAAAACCTCAACATTCCACGACTTGATACTATCCTTAGGCTGCTCGTCCGCCCACTTGACATAGAATCCCTTGACATGTGCGAACAGTTCCACAGGCTTTTGCCACTTCCATTTCTTGAACTGCCATTCCGCGCCTGTTGTGAAGACACAAATGACACGATCCCAATCCTCTGGTCTCAAGTGATCTGCGCTGTCGATGACATGATAGGGCGTCTTGTGCGTCTCATTAGCTTTTTGGCGGCGCTCGATCGTCAATCTTGTTGGCTTAGCATCTCCCTTACTGCGAATTTCCTGACTATCCATAAATCTAGTCTCAGAAGTAAGCGGAATCAAGATGGCCTGTGAGTAACCTCCTCCTGAAGAACGACTGTTGATCCTACATATCGTGTGCTATGTCTCGTGCTTACATTTGATCTTCCAAGAACTGCTTAATGTTGTACATCGTGAGCATGGAAGTAACGGCAGCGGGAATAATAATAATAGGAATACGAGAGGACGCTAGATCATATAAACGAAAGGAAAGCAATAGGTAGAAGATGAGAAAACAACAAAGCTCAGCATGTAGTGTTGGTATTGTCATCCTAAGCACTCCATGAACTTACAAGATTTGGATTTGCTTTGTGAAGAACTCGTCGCAGATCGCGGGGTGGAAGCATTTGGCGCTGATCCTGGTCGTGACGATAAAGCGGATGTAGCGACTACAGCTCCTGGCTGCCTTGAGTCTGGTTTCGCGGCTGTTGATTTGCCATCCTTCGATTTACTCTTCAATAGAATCGCTGCTCCCAACTTTTGAATATTCGCAAATGACTGATTTACACGATTGTAAAAGAAGAATTCGTTAGTCCCATCCACATGGCTCAATTAAGAGGCATTTTCACAGAAATCCACATAGGCGTGACCCGTTGTCGGCATACCTTGTTGCCTCGAAGCACGCTTGCTGTTGTCCTAGCCAGCCTCTCCTTTGAGATGATCAGTCGTAGGATCTCATTTTCATCGCCATGCCCAGGTTGAATTGATGTTTTTTGTCTCTTTGACGGGTCGTCCTGCTGATCGTCGACTACATCGTCTCCCGATCGTTTATCTAAGTGCAAAGCCGTCCTGGTTAGGTTCTGGGAAGGTTGAAGGTCCATTGTCGATGATTCTATTCCTGATACTTACTCGTTTCTGAGACTTGGTATATGATTTGTGCCGAAGTCGCCGCTGCTCCTGTAAGATATTCAAGCACTCCTCTCTTGTCTAGAATCGAAACGATCGGAATGGCTTTTTGCGCTCCTTCCAAGGAGTATTCTGCTACGCTCTGGTGCGCCCTCTGGAGCAGGAAGAGCAGGGTTTCGAGCGTGTATGTTTCATCCGAGGCGTTTTTCTTGTAGTTGGTTGGAGTGCCTCTGGGGAACGTGAAATTCTGCTTGTCATCTGCAAAGACGACATCGGTGGCGTCGGTGAGCTCTGTAACGAGATTGCCGTTGGCGTTGACGAGAGTGATTGGCTTCTTCGACACTGTGAATTCGCGGAGGAGACTGAGCGGATCGGTCTTTGACATTATGAAGAGTAGGTTGAGAACAAAAATAGTAAGTGTCGCGATTGATCCTGGTGCTCTTGATGCTCTTGATGCTCTTAATGCTCCGGCGCAGATCTGGTTGACGTCAGAGAAATTTTTCTTATCCCATTGCCGGTTCCCTCTCTTTTCTTGTATATACGTTCCATATACACACACACTTTCTCTCTCTCAGCACTCAGTCTTCGTCGTTGTAAATAAAGCCTTCTCAGCAGTTAAAAAGGGGCATCCAGGTCTTATTCGACTTGTATTTATGACCCCAGGCAAGGATACGGTCTTCAAGGATACGGTCTTCAAGGATACGGTCTTCAAGGCTGTTCAGGAGACCACACCCAGCATCGCCAGCAGGGTAGGCATCGTTGCCTACTATGCATTACTCTCGCGACTAGCAATTTGGTTCATCGCCGTTGTGTCGCATGCCCTCATTCAGGATTATGACTCGGCTTTGGAACTGGTGCTACCAGTCGAGACAATAGCACAGCAGTTTTTCAAAGGCATCTTCGGCGTGTTTCTCCGCTGGGATTCATTCTACTTTGTACATATCGCCGAGCATGGATACGTTTTTGAACAAGAGCACGCATTCTTCCCTCTGCTTCCTGTACTGATGCGGCTGGTCTCGAACACAGGTAGGGCATTGAGTACCTGTGTTTGTGTGCACCTGTTCTATGCATGTTCGATCTTAACAGCGTATTTCAACCGTCGTAGTTCTAGCTCCCCTGAGCTCCTTATTCTCATATACACAGCAATTGGTGCTGGCGGGCATCCTCGTATCCAATGTGTCATTCATCGCTGCATCAGTCCAGCTTTATAGGCTGACGCATACACTGTTTGGACAAGAGCGGTTTGCGTTTCTCACGGCTATTCTCTATATTTTGACCCCCTCCGGGATTTTCATGTCCGCTATGTAAGTTACGAACTACACATCTTTGGACGACGCGATCGATGCACCTCTTACTTATTATGACTCCATTTATGACAGCTATACCGAGAGTCCGTTTGCAGCACTTTCGTTCACAGGAATGCTCTTTGCAGCTCGCAGACAGTACCTTTTGGCGGCGGTCGTTTGGTCGATCAGCTGTACTGCTCGCTCGAATGGGGTCCTCTATCCAGGGTTCTTCATCTATGATCTGGTCGTGAGGATGGATCTCAAAGCGCCCATGATGGTACTTATTGTCGTCCTTTTATTACAAGAGGCCTATGGAGAATACACTTCTACAACGATCTAGCAACCTCACACTAATATTTTGCCTGTTCGATGGATGCAGAGCAATATCAAGGCGCTTCTCAAGACAACCGTACTTTGTCTGATCAACTGGGCGGGCTTTCTTTCCGTACAGGGATATGGCTATGCACTTTATTGCTCGAACAAGACTTCTATGCTAGAAGCAAGACCTTGGTGCGAGTCTACAGTGCCGTCCATCTACACTTTCGTCCAGGATTTTTACTGGTAGGCCACCGACCTGTTCACGACCCCGGCGAACCCATCCAGGTGATCTGTGATTTCTTACAGCTTTTGTGGTACATTTCATAGGAACGTCGGATTTCTTCGCTATTATGAAATGAAACAGATTCCCAACTTTTTAATGGCAGCACCGATGATTACACTTTCTGCAGCTGGTATCTTTTGCTATGCGTCTTACGACCTACAGCGGCTGTTCTCTCTTGGACGTTCATCGAACAAAGGTAACCATTCTTAACCTAAGAGAAGCAAACGAAATATATGATGCTAGTTTTTAATGCGCTTCTTGTTTTCGCGTTGTTTATCTGCAGCATCGAAGGACCGACCAATGCCTCCTTTCTTAAGCCTTGCGACCTTCCCTTATATTGTCCTGTGGACGGCCCTCCTCTTTTCCGCAATCACGACGATGCACATCCAAATCATCACCCGGGCATTCTCCTGTGTACCGCCCGTGTACTGGTTTGCAGCTCACCAATTCGAAGAGGGTGCACCTGGCGCGGGCTGGAGCAAATCTATAACGACGTTCTTTGTGATGTACGGGCTTATCGGGATCATCCTGTTTGCCAATTTTTTCCCCCCTGCATAGATTATCCCTGGTGGTAGACTGGATCCTTCTTACAATAAGAATAATTGGCTCACCCGCCTGAACTTCTTCTAAAAGGGGACGGGCACTGTACACAATACTATGGATGTTTGGGCTCATGTTGATGTAGTTTGCTTTCCTGAGTGAACAGGTTGCGATCTTAAGTAGTTTTCCGGGTTGGTCGCAGCTCGTTAGCCCTCCCTCCCCCAAAAAAGATTGGTGGCAAAAGAAATCTTTTGGAGTTGCAACCTGCTGCTAATTTTTTATGTTCTGGTGATGGAAGGAATACTAATCGTCAGGAGAGGTGGCGACGAGAGCAGGGGAGGGGTCCTTGTGGTGACGAAGAGGAGGCCGTGGGAGAAGGGCTATCCAGGGAGCCTCGCGAGCTGATTGAGGAGTCAGCACACTGTAGTTTTAGGTTTGTCAATAACTGGGATTGGCCAATAATGGCTGTGGATGATGTGCTCCTTTACCCTGCGCTTCCTCTCGCACCTCTTCGAGAAATTTTAGCCGATTCTCAAACTCAACCTTCATCGCTCTCACAAAAATAAAAACGAAGGCAATGTTCGCCCGATTCATAAAAACCGCCCGCAACACCCTCTCCACTCCCTCCTCCTCAGTAACCGCCTCTTCCTTCTGCCTCCGACACCAGATCCGCAGGCCCTATACCTCCACTTACCTTCCTGCAACCAACTCAGGCATGACCACAGTGCCTAACATTCCTCGCGCCGAACGCGTTGCTCACTTTGAGCAGGATGGTGAGTCATTCGCCCCCAATATACTACACCACTGCGTTGTTTGCTGCACTGCCACAGTACCATGCCTTATCGGCCAATTGCTTGCCTCCTCCTAACAGTCTGCAATTGATCCTTATGTATTTTAGTCTGGTCCATTTTCACACCTCTGGCTCTGGAATGCCAGGCTGTCAACCTTGGCCAGGGGTTCATGAAGTAAACTAAACTCTGTCTCGTGCACGACGCGATTCTATGCTTAGTGTGTCCTCTAATCATAACAACAACTATAACAATGTCGTATTGGTCGCTGCTAATAGCTTCTCTCCTCCAGATTTTGTGGTCGAAGCTGCGCGCGAGGCTGTCCTGCGCAATGACTGCAACCAGTACAGCCATCCCAAGGGTCGTCCAAGGCTTAGGAACGTACGTCCAGAGCTCAATGAAGCAAACAAGCATGTTGGTGAAATGTAGATCCTCTGTCAGGTTTGCTTCTTTTCTCACATCTTTCCATTGCTTTGCTGTTCATTCTGATCTAAAGGCCCTCGCAAAGTCGTACAGCCCTCTTTTTGGAAGGCAATTGGACCCAGAGACCGAGATTGTGGTGACCGCTGGCGCCAACGAAGGTACCGCAGCAGTGGATTCGCACGATCAGCAATGCCAACAATAGCGCACAGACGATTCCAAATCAAACCACCAACACCTTCTCAATTACTGGTGCTGTATAGGCATTTTCAGCATCTTTGCTGGATATCTGGATCAAGGTTCAGAGGTCATTTTGATGGAGCCTTTCTTTGACCAGTACATTGTAAGTCTGCTTCACTGCATCGCCTGGACAAACGGATACGGATGAGTCAAGATCTTCTAATGTGATGACTAACCTAACTCATTGATAATCGATCACAGTCCAACATCACAATGAACGGAGGAGTTCCTGTCTATTGCCCTATCCGACCCAAGGGCGATACCTCGAAGGATATGGCTGCGAGTGAATGGAAGATTGATATCAAGGAACTGGAATCCAAGATCACACCACGTTCCAAGATTCTTGTTCTCAACACCCCCCACAACCCTATTGGGAAGGTTTTCTCGCGTGAGGAGCTGGAGGAAATTGGAGCCCTTGCGACTAAGCACAACCTGTTGGTTATCAGTGATGAAGTGGTTAGTTCAAATATCTTTTATTTTTTACTCACTATGACCAATTGGGAGGGAATTAAACGCGCTGCTAAAACATTTCGTTGTTGTTGAACTACTAGTACGATCGCTTGTACTTCAATCCTAAAAACCACGAGCGCATCGCCACCTTGGACGGACTTTGGGAGCGAACTATCACTGTTGGAAGCGGTGGAAAGACCTTCGGAACGACTGGCTGGCGCGTTGGCTGGCTGATCGGACCAAAGGCTCTGATCGAGCCTGCCTTAGCCGCCCATACCCGTATCGTCTTTTGCGTGAACTCACCCCTGCAGGAGGCAATTGCCATTGGATTCGAACAGGCTGATGGTCGCGGATTTTTCGGGAGCCAGGTCGATGCCTATGAGCACAAGCGCGAGAAGTTGTTGTCGGTTTTCCGCGAGTTGGGATTGCCCTGTACCATCCCTGAGGGATCGTACTTTATTCTGGTGAACACGAAACGGATCAGGGTGCCTAAAGACTATGTATTCCCTGACCTGCTGCACAAGCGCCCTAAGGACTTCAGGACGTGCTACTGGATGACCAAGGAGATTGGGGTGTGCGCCATCCCTCCAACCGAGTTTTACTCCAAGCCCAACCAGCCCTTGGCCGAGGACTTTGCTAGATTTGCGTTCTGCAAGACAGACGAGACCCTGGACGCTGCAGTGGAGAGGCTGCTTAAATTGAAGCCATATATTGAATAAATCATGGCTATTGAATGATAGTCACCTGTGGCTTTGCTCCGGGACAACAAAGAGAAGAAAAAAAAGAAAAAAAAAAAACATCCATCAACTCGTTCACAGCACTCACTCACCCAGACACACCCCCTCACACTTCACATATCATCAGCATGGCCAAGGAGCGCAAGGAAAAAAAGGAGAAGAAGTCCTCCAAGGCTGAGAAGGTCGAGAAGGTTGAGAAAGTCGATAAGAAAATCGATGCCGGCAACGAATCTGATATGGATGTTGATGCTCCCGCTCGCATCGTTGACATCTCTCCAATCGCCTCTCCTTTGGCCGCCGATAAGTTGACGAAGAAGCTGTTGAAGACCGTCAAGAAGGGTAATACAATTGTGCTCTCATGCGCTTTATTCGCTCATTTGGACGTTTTGCTGGTTGACTCTCTTAAGCAGCAGGACGAGATCCCTTGTGTTTCTGAACGAGTGGACCCAGAACGAGTAGACAAGCAATTTATCTCCCACAAAGAGCGTGCTTGAAGATCATGTAACGGTCAACCGTCCACCAAGCACACTCTCGACAATATTCAACAGCACTCTCAGAACTCCACTTCCTTAATGATCATTTACCAGTAGTAATTGCATTGGACGGCTACGATTCGTAGCGCTTTTGTGAGCGCGATTCTCTGGTCGACACTAAATTACATACACAGCAGATAGACCATCAAATACCTGCACCGCTCGCATTCATACTCAATTTGAGAACGCCAAAAAAAAGTACTCAGACTAAGACGGGATCATTTTTTTCGATGCACAATTGATCTAGCTGCCAAGGCCAAGCATGTGAAGCGTGGTGTCAAGGAGGTCGTCAAGGGTCTCCGTAAGGGCGAGAAGGGTCTTGTATTGATTGCGGGCGACATTTCACCCATCGATGTGATCACGCACGTCCCAGTCCTGTGCGAGGAGAACGATGTGCCCTACATTTTCTTGCCTTCGAAGGAGGATCTTGGAACTGCAGGATCGACCAAGCGCCCCACTTCATGCGTGATGGTTGTCTTGGGTGGCAAGAAGAAGGATATGGATGGTGCCAAGGACTACAAGGAGTTGTACGATGAGTGCTATGCCAAGGTCAAGGAGCTGGTAAGTCTTTCTGTGTGCATCAATTTTGTGCTGTTCGTGTCCGACCTTTTCAACTCGATCACATTACTGACCATACGATTACTTTTATTATGTGTCGCTTTGTTCTTAATAGGATGAGGCTATCGTCTATTAGATACATGAATGATACAGTTCCTTAATCTCCTCCATTGCGTCCTTCTCCATCTTGTACTATTGTTTTGTAGTTTCCCTTTTATTTTTTGTCATTAAAGCATTTGACCTTTCTTTTTTCATAACCCATCTGTGTTATGGTGAACAAAAAGCAAAGAGTGCATCAAAAGACTGGGATGTGATCCAGGATAAGCAAGTTTGCACGCGTCTTAGGCACTATGATCTATGGTCGATCATCGTGCTTGTATCAAGTATGAGTCGATCTGTTTGCTGACCTATGGAGTTCCGTGCTTGAGAAATAAGGTTAGCTTTACCTACTCACTTCATTTGATCTCTGGCGGCTTTATTTGTACCCGCCTTCTCTTCTTTTCCGAACCTCATTCATTCATTCATTCTCTTTTCTCCATCCTTCACATCACACTTCATCTTTCCGCTCTACTCCACTCCATACCGAATGCCATACGGTACTAAGTTTTTTTCTTGCGCGCAGGCACCACCCTGCCCTGCAATACAATTTTGAAACTGGACTCACCATCTATCATTGTTTGGAACGCACTCAACCCGTCTAGAGCGCCGCAATACACAGCCCGAGAACCCATTCTCAAAGCTTGTCCCCTCACAAACCATTGCCATCATCCCCGAGTTTACGCTCGATTCGGGTCATGTGCTGCACCAGGTTCCTGTCGCCTACCGGACCTGGGGAACCCTGAACGACGCAGGGGATAACGCAATGATCATTTGCCATGCCCTTAGTGGAAGTGCCGATGTTGAGGACTGGTAAGGAAACCAGCTTTGTATATATCTCTTTACCCTTGTGTCATACCCGCCATGGGAAAGACTGGTCAGCAAATGACTGGACAGAAAGTGACTGGGTCGGGCGTGCGAGCGCTGACTTTGAAGGAACAATCGATGTCGTGATTTCCCCAGATCACAAACGCAGATCAAACATTGGACAGAATACTATTGAAGACGTACCTGGATATGCAGGCAGGCTACGCATGGTCCCAGCAAAATGGGGAAGAAGGAAGTCCATGCGGCACATGCTAATATGCAAAAATCAATTTTTGGAAAATAAAACTTGTAGGTGGGGTCCGTTGATGGGACCTGGGCGTGCGTTCGATCCGACAAAGTTCTTTATCATCTGCTGCAATGTCCTCGGCTCACCTTATGGCACTGCTTCTCCCGTGACTATGAACCCGGAAACCGGAGTCAACTACGGACCTGAATTCCCTCTGGCGACCATCCGCGATGATGTCAGGTGACAAAGATGAATACGAAGGACCATTAATGCGATAGAGGAAAGGAAAACATAGTGTCTGACATTTCACTGCATATCCATTTTAATAGGCTTCATAAGCTAATCCTAGACGACTTAGGTGTCAAGTCAGTAGCGATCTGTGTCGGAGGATCGATGGGAGGAATGCAGGTCCTGGAATGGTCCTTCTTCGGTACCGAGTATGTTAAAGCCATCATTCCTATTGCCACCTCTGCAAAACATTCGGCATGGTGTATCAGCTGGGGCGAAGCCCAGCGTCAATCGATCTACAGCGACCCCAATTATCTTGACGGATACTATACTTCTGACGCAGTAAGTTCTTTTGATTTGAAGTCTGCGTGATTTTTTTTTTTTTTTTTTTTTTTTTTTTTTGGCACGGAAGCGGTGTTAAGCTCATGTATACTTTTGCTCGCCAATTTTAGCCGCCCTCGGTGGGTCTCGGAGCAGCAAGAATGGCTGCGCTGTTAACATACCGCTCGCGCAACTCTTTCGAGTCCCGATTCGGACGCAAGGTCATGGATCGTCCTACATACTCGACTGCTCGTGAACCAGCGTCTCCTGCTGAGGAACACCATCAAATTCATAATGACGGACACCGCAGGACCAAAGGCCACCTTTCTCGCAGCAGTTCGGTCGACAGCACCGGCAGCTTGCTCGCAGCCAGCGCGAACGCCTTAGCAGCTGTCACTGAAGCACAGTTATCATCAACATCTAGTAAGGAAACAGCCACAAACGGCGTTGAGGCCTCTCCGAAGGGCATTCAAGCCATCCCTGTGGTACTGAACAAGACCAGGAACAAGAGCCAGAAGCCCACAGTGTTCTCTGCACAGAATTATCTCCGGTACCAGGGTGAGAAGTTCATTCACCGGTTCGATGCCAACTGCTATATTGCGATCACACGCAAGATGGATGTGCATGATGTCTCGGCAGGCCGAGGCGAGTTGGTCGAGGTACTCGACAACATCAAGCAGCCGGCATTGGTCATTGGCGTGGAATCGGATGGATTGTTCACGATCTCGGAGCAGTACGAGCTGGCGGAGCATTTGCACGACTCGGAAATGGTCGTGGTTCAGTCGCCCGACGGTCATGACGGGTTTTTGCTTGAATTTGAGCAGATCAATAATGCAATTATTTCATTCATGCAGAAGCATCAGCATATCCAAGATATCCTGAGTAGGGAAGGTGTCCAGCCCACCGCAGAGGTCGGAGCTGTGGTCAAGGAGAGTTTGTTTGGAGAGAGCGAGATCGTCAACTGGTAGAATTGATACAGATACCGTAATAAAATGACAGATTTTTTTTTTTGATGCCATGTCAACGATGCAGGGAACTGCAACCCATGCGGTAGATCTTGAATCCAGATATTGGCGCGCCGCACCACACAACATTGTGGAGAGCTCGTGCTGGGTTGCTTATAGAGTAATGTTATTTTACAGATCCGGCGTTTCTAAAATATGCATAACGCCCTCTAGACTGCCGTGCTTATGGTCCCGTCATCATCCTGCAGTCTCTGTGCTCAGTTGGGACGGTTGATCTTGGCCTCGTTGAAGAGAACGGTTTGGTTGGCTGTCAAAGAGCAAAAGATACGATAACGCAGATATAGGTTAGGGCTTTATCACAACGACATCCCACTACATAACAAAACGATAATAATCCATTGCCTACCGCGAGGATCGAACTTCATGAAGGACAATTTGGCGGTGGTTCTTGGACGGCGTGTAGTGTAGAAGAAACCGGTGCCGGCTGTCGACAACAACTTAACGATGATAGTCCTATTGAACAAGGTGCGATAACCGGATTAAGACATCTTGGTTCTTTTTGATTATGACAACTGTACATCATTAAATCAAGATATCTGCGCCAATTACCTTGCTTTAGCTTTCTTGGCCATCTGGAAGATCAGGCAAGTTGAAAGGAAACGAAGGCAAAGGAAATAAGACATGTATGTTAGCGGTCAATAGAGGCATATTCCTGTTCCTGAGACAGCAAGCGATATCCTGTTGCGTGATCTCTGTATTTCCATCCAGCTTTCATTGTCCTCGCCGTTGTCGGCTCATAATCTCCTTTGATGGATGAATCGTTGGTGCATACTTTATAGGTTCTTGCTCTGGGTGGTGGGTGATGAAGGTGGAGGAAACGAGTACAGGCATCTTCCTTTTTGCTGCTTTCCCCGAGGTTGTTTATGTGTGACCGTCTCGAATCCCTTTCTCCTCCCTTTTTGGATATCAATTTTGGAAAGAGTTGTGCTGGTCATCACCCCTCAACTTCAGACACGAACCAACTCCACCAAGAATCGCCTAACACCATGAGCACACAGATCAGTCTTGACGCCTTGCCTTGTAAGCGAACCGACTATTTCTCTCACTGGACAAGATACGCGAAGAGAAGCAGCAATCGACATCCTCATCCACTAACCCGTTCATTTTCCTTCCTTATTTTCCTCTTCAACAGATGTCGACAAACAAATTGACGAGCCAGGTAACAAAAAACGCCTCAAATACAGCAGGAATAGAAGTGGTTCCCTTCTGACGACACCAAGCTGGAGTCCTTGTTCAACTCACTCACTGTTCTATCCTTTCTGTTAATCTTTTAGGTGTCCGTACCTTGGTCGACAAGTTAATCGCCTCAGAGATGAAGCGCATGCCCAAGCCTACGCGCGATGTCTCTGATATCGAACTTTTCAAAGACAATGAACTTCTCCAACAGGAGTTCGATCGCATTAGGAGAGGAAAGCCCATGGAGCCAAAACTCGATCTCTCGCGCTATCAACTCGAACCACCCTCTGCCACATCCTCGACATCAACAGCAACAGTATCAGCAACATCATCAAAACAAACAACAACAGGATCAGAATCAGGATCAACTGATACAATAACGCCCTCTGCATCTGAAGAGCTCCCAGAGGGTCGTATCCTGTGGCTCAAGGCCCTCGATAACGCGAACGCGCAGCTCGAACACCAGAACCAACGTATCCTGAACCTCGAACTCGTCCAAAAGTTTGGAGGCAACGCCTGGAACATTCATAATTATCAGATGGAATACGATCTCTCTTTGCTCCGGAAGGCCGTTGATGACAAGCGAGCCGAGGTCATTGAACTCAACAAACTCAGAAAGCGCGATCAGGTAAGGAATCGAGTGCTATTGGCTTGGATGCAGATTATATCCTGCTTCAAGATTACAGGAACCCCTACATCTCATGCACCTGTTTTTTTCTTCTCGTCCTTCCTGATATTGTACATTAGCTGGACGTCGCGGAGTCGTTACAGAGGCTGGAAGCCAAATGGGCAGAGATGATCAGCTCAACATTGCAGGTTGAGGTCGCCAGCGCATCATTGGAAGCCGAGTTGGAGCAACTGAGAGCTTATGAGGCCAACTTGAGAAAGGAACTCGACATGCCTCTTGCTCAGCAATAAATTTCGACTTCACCGCAACTCCTTCACGTCCTATAATAAACGTACGATATATGAGGTGCCAATGTTGGTTTTATTGAAATGAGCCCTTCGTTTACATCCGGTTATGTGCGTGTCTGTTGGGCGGCTGTAGACTGGGAAGTCTGTTGGTGGTCATGTGTTTGATGTTGCTGCGGATGGTGTGGGTCAGGGTGGTGCGCCGGAGGATGGGACGGGTAATACATAGGCGGTTGGTAATAGTAGTAGTTGTTATAATCCTCCGGTGCGACCATCATCATCATCATCTCTCCTCCAGCTCCTGGAACAGGCGCCGCCGCCGCCTCACTAACATCAGCCGGCATGGCTCCTGACACAGGGATACTACCGTCGTAGTACATTGGGGCCATGAACGGCTGCCCGGGCATGGGTACACCCATGGGCATCCCCATCGGCATTCCCATCGGTACAGGCATAGGGACAGCCATGGGCATTGATACAGGCATGGCTCCTGTGCTACCACTAGGCATATTCACAGGTGGGTAATAATAGTAGTACATCGGCTGAGTCAACTGTGCCTGCTGAGGATCGTAGTAATATCCATCCTGATTGTAATCCTCGCCGTAGTACTGTTCCTCGGCCTCAAACGTCGTCGGTCGTTGTTCAGCAGGAACAAAAAGAGTTGAAGGCTTGAATGGAGCAGCATTAATAGCTATAATAAATGCGTCATGGTCAGTAAATGGGTGGAACATTAGCCTACCAATGAACACAAAACCAGGACATGGGATTTTACCTGTCTTGAGTGACTTGGTTAAGCTGATGGGGGCTGTCTCCCTTGAGGAAGCTGCTGTATCCGAGTCGACCTTCTTCTGCTCCTCTGGGGCTTCAGCCGCCTTGCTGTACGACTGCTCTTCATCCCTGTCCTCCTGTCTATGGCCCAGGTACCTCTTTGACCCATTTGCATTAGACGTTTCCGGTAGATCTGAAGTGGTTCCTGCCTTCGGGGCCTCGGTATTCGTAGCTGTCGCAGAAGAAGTTGTCGATGGCTGCTGGGAAAGTTGGGGACTATGAGGATGGTGATGATGAGACCCATGGAAACCACCCTGATGACCTCCACGATGTCCAAAATGACCTGGATGAAAACCTCCACGACCACGTCCACGGCTCGAAAAATTGCCAGGAATAAAGTGGGGTCTAAAACCAGAGTGCTGGACTGCAGGCTGGCTCTGCGGCATAGGCTGACGGAACTTTGGGTTGGTCGATGTAGGGGCTGGAGTGGCAGTAGTGGCCCCCGCCTTCTCGATAGAACTGGCGTCCTTGCTGTCCTTGCTGCCCTTGGAGCCCTCCTCAGGCTGCATCATTTCGGCCCCGTTAGCGTCAGTAGATGTCGATTTTATCTCAGGAGCAGGTGCTTTAGATACGGGCTTAGGAAGAGCCGAATGTAAGAGACGCGAGGCCCTCTTTACGTCCTTCTCTCCAAATTGAATGGAAGAGCGCGGTCTTTCTGACTTTGTCAAGGCAGATGCTGCTGGTCCAGGCTGCGATGTTGAATCTCCCTGCGACTGAGTCATCGCCTTGTCCTGGGCTGCATTTTTCATCTCATCAAATTTAGGGGTGGTAGTATCGACAGTTTTTGTTGCCACATTGGTAGACTGACTCTTGGATGCTTCATTCGTCGAGGTTGAGGCAGCAGGTGCAGGAGTAGCGCTTGAACCAGCGGCATTCTGACTGAGTCCTGGATTGTTAGATGTGCTCCGCGATAACGAAGGTCCCGAGGGCTAAGAGGATTAGAGCACAACATAACAACGGTCAGCTTGTTGAATATTATAACCATAGCACTTGATTTCACATATTAAAAACCCTCTCTCTTACCTTGGCATTCATGGAACGAGGTCGAGAATCGTTCCTTGGCTGGCGGTGACTCTTTTCCTGCACCTTCATCAACTGATCGTATCCATCGTGGCTCCATCGGTCCGACCTAGGCCTCACTGGACTGCTATCCTTGTCCTCTGTGTCCTGAGATTGTGAGTCCTTATCTGGGGCACTGCCCCTGTCGTTCCTGGCATCACCCCTACTTGGACCCTGAGCCATGCCTCCTCGATCGAATCCACCTCTAAATTTACATAAATATATACCCATTGCGAAACAATGTTAGCCCTCCTGAAATTATTTTCGGCCTGCTGCTGGTTCAAGATATGTGAAGACAGTAAGAATCGTACCTTCCCATGAAGCGACCTCTGAAGCCCCCTCGGTCGCTGAAATTCTTCAATCCCGCGCCTCGGTACCGATCGTCATGTCCCCAGAATTCCCCGAGATGGGGCACAAACCTAGGGTCCTCTGCCAGCTTCCTGCGATACTCAACTCGAGCCTCGACTGCTGCTCTTCCACCGCGGCCTCGTGACACCGGACGACTCAAATGCGCAGTGGATTTAATCTGTTCCTGTTGCTCTTTATCTGCTGGTGAATTTTCCAGTGCAGCAGAGGGTTCAGGCATGGGTGAGTCGCCCCAGTCTGTCGAAGTGGATTCGTCTCCCAAGGTGTCCTTGTCAGGGGCAGAGGATGCGGTACCGGATTTGGTTGAGCTGATCCCTTGTTTAGAAAGGCGCTTGTTCGGCTTCGATAACGCAGTTGGTTCCGCGTCCGCGTGTGATTGAGAAGGCGCAGGCGAAGACGAAGGTATGATGGACTGACGGTTGCGGACCTCATCAGCGCCATTCTTCTGGCTTTGTGATCCCTCTGTGTTCTTGCCCGCAACTGCTGGCTGATTCTGCTTCTGATCCTGCTGCTTCGCCTTCTTATTGCGCTTCTTCTTTGAAGATGATGACGAAGGGACAGAGTGCGAAGTTGTAGGCGTGGGTGAAGCTGGAGCTGAATCCCGATTCTGAGTCGTTGGTTGCAACGATGGCTGACTTTCCTGCGATACGGCACGACCGCGGTTCTGATGCTGCTGTTGCTGTTGCTGCTTGCGAGACGATGCCTTGTTGGGAATAGGTGGGTGGTCACCTTTGCGCTCCAGCGATAATTTTTCCAGCGCCAATCGCTTGACTTGCAAGTCCGCCTCCTCCTCCGTATCTGGATCGTCACTTTCCGAGCCACCTGACGCGTGTTGACGATCCTCTTCCTCGTCCGAGCTGCTCACTGCGAGTTCGATCGCCTCCTCACCACCGGATCGATGTGGTCCACGACGTGCCACCAATTTTTTCGATCGGCCAGTCTTCTTCTTGGGGTTGGATCGCTTCGTGGCTTCGGTTGCGGCAGACAGCTGTGAGTCTGCTACAGGGACCTGAGTAGCGCTGATGGTATTGTTGGATTCGGCAGCAACAGAGGGCGAAGAATTCGTGCTATGGGGCGCTACATCCTTGATTGCGCTTCGGCGACGGCCGTGTTTGTCGTTTGCTGGTGAAACTTTGGAGTCTTGACCAGGGACCGTTGCGGGCTTGTTCGAGGGGGCAGCAGTGGTGGTCGTGGTGGTCGTGGTCGTGGTCGTGGAAGCGACGTTGTCGTCGGTATTGGCGGTCTTGGTTGGTTGATGGGTTTGCATGGTGGAAGGTGAGTGAGAGCGCCTTTATTTTTTTATTGTCCTTATAGTTACTTTTTTTCAAAGAAGAGATCAGGTTGAGCGAAAAAGAACACTTGTGGCGAAGTATGAGGAATCAAGTACGATTGGGCTAAGGTATTAGAAATGCAAAGGAGGGAGAAACAACAAGCAAAAAGGAACAAAAAGAAAAAGAAGAAGGGAAACCAAGGAGGAACTATGAAGGGATGAGGAGAAGAAGAAGAAGGAAGCAAAGAGAAGAACCAAGAAAGGAGGAAATACAAGCAGACCGAATGTGTTCGCGGTGAAGGTGGGGGAAGAGGGGGGGAGGGGGGGAGGGGGGGGAGAGAGTCGTGTTTTTTTTTTTCTTTGGTAGTCCATGCATCGCCTGTCAATTTAGAGATGCACACATGTCACGAGATATTGAAGCAGTATGCCACGAATGCAGTAAAATCGGTTGTATTGTCATCATCGCCCTTCTCGGTCCGACCACCATCAACACCCCCACCATCAACACCCCCACCAGCGCTCGCGGACCGACACAGCAAACAACACCCGATCCAGGAACAACTTCACAATGGCCATCGGTATCTTTGGTCTCCTCGAGGTGATGCTCCTCTTCGTCAATGCTATTGCCATCCTCAACGAGGAACGGTTTCTTGCAAGGAGTACGTCCCTTAACCCGCGTCCTCCTCCTTGCTACTCTTTCCTCAGTTACTTTTGCTTTGGCCTTCTAGCCAGTATTGCGGTCATGTTTAACCTGAAGCGATCTAAACATGTTATATCTAACCATCCAAAGCTCTGCTTATAAAATGTAGTCGGCTGGGCACGGCAGGTCGCCGATCCATACGCACAGGAATCCGTCAAGGCCAGACTCGTGAACTTAATATCCGCTGTGAGGACATTGATGAGAAGTATGTGCACAACACCCCAACAGGACACAATCTTGACATGGGCGGATTTGAACCTTTTTTGGAACATGCGCCCCATATATCATCACTGGGTCCGCTAACATCCACGCCTCTCTCTTCCTAGTCCCATTAATCGGTCTCAACGTAGTCGCTATCCTGTACCTCGTCATTCTCGGATAGAAACTGGACAACTATAAAACAGAGGGGCCGCGATCGGTATGGACATTGGATGGCCTTCATTTTTGCTATGAGTCGCGACTTAAGAAGAACAGGAAGCGATACGATGCATTTGCTTTTGCTGATCCAGACACCGTGTTCAAATCACCATCATATCTACTTTTGAATTTCAGCAATCTGCTCATTCGTTGCCCAAGTCCTTCAATATGTCCGAGCATTAGCTGGTCCAGCATTTGTAAATCCCCACCATACATCTACTGCAATAAATAATCATCGCAAGAATACTTGTTATTATACATTGCTCAAAAGAGCAAACAAAAAAAAAAGACAAGACAATACTAAAGAAACGTGAGGATCAGGAAAGCAAAGCGGAGGGCGGGGCTATATCAAATGAAAACGGCGAAAATAGCCCTGCGAATGCAGGAGGACATGCGTCCGCACTATGGAAGCCCATTGAGTTGTCGATAGGTCTGAGGTGTGCTTGACGTCGCCTTAGGCTCCAGCTCATCCTGGTAGATCGATTTGGTGGGGATGGTATAGTTTTCAGCAGGAAAGATGGGTCCGACTCCTTGCACAAATCGTCTTCGTCTGTCCATCGCACTGAGTGCGTTCTCCGAAAGGGACTTTGGCGTTGTCGTCTTTTTCTTCTTGGACTTTGTCATGCGCTACAGATGTGTCAGAAAGAGTCACCATCAGTATGCAGGCCATTCTAAATACATTTAGCGTCATGTAAAGGGCCCTCATTCAGTTTGCTGACTTACGAATCGCTTGAGGTATCCTTGCTCGACCTGCTTGTCCAAGTCATCCAAAATAGTATTGTACTCCTGATAGGCGAGATGGTTGTTCACAAGGCCAAGCAGGCGTTGTTTCCTAGCCTTGTTCACCTTCATCACATCCCGCAACTCTTTCTGAAGCGACCTGAGCGTGATGCTGATCTCATCATCCTCTCGCGCATCCCAATCGATCTATTCGGTAAAGGAAGATTTCCATCGGTTAGAGCTCACAGAAAGGGACATGAGAATAGACCAGCACAGCACTTGACGCGCTGCATACCTCTTCGTTGCCGAGCAGACCAATATATCGTAACTCGCGCTTGATGCGCTCTTCCAGCTCTGCATAGTTTCTCGCTGTCGATTGAACGCCGGTTTGGGCTGGGGAAGGCGATGGCGGTGGATCGTCATCCTGTTTCAGCTCCTTCGAATCAACCACGTCTTCCGAAATCAGAGAGCAGAGAATTCTTTCTGTCAAGGGTCCGCACGACACTTCGTCCTGATCAATGTTTTCATCCGTCAGTTCGAATGGCTGGTTGTAGACGGTATTCCGTGAGGGTGTCGAGTCCTTGACCAGATCCACCGAGCTCCGCCTCGACTCGTATCCATCGTAAGGCATGAGCGCCCGGTCCTCCTCCGCCCATACATCCAAGTAATGCTTTCCGAGTGGTGGAATCAGCAAAGGTGTGACCTGATCACCCTCCTCCTCTAGAACGACACGGTCTGACTCTGTAAATGGCCGGAAGTATGGCTCCATGGACGCCCAAAAAGTCTGAATGGGGACTTGGTTGGCAACCTTGACCTTTGAAAAGTCCTCCTGAACTTCTTGAGCTTTGGGAGGCGGCTTCTGAGATTTTTCGGTCTGGTGTTCTGAGTTCTTCTTTTTCTTTTGATGAGATGCTGAGTGGGCCTTGTCTCCTGTCCGATTCTGTGTAGAGAAAGAAATGAACAATATTCGTTAGATCAGATCGAATGAGCCCACAGTAATACTGTACTGACGCCTCCTAATGTCCCTTTGCGTACCTGTCCTGCCTTTGGTGTTCCATGGCGATTGGCGTTCAACTTCACAGGCTGGGGTGACATACTTCGTCCTGCTTTACCCAACAGATAGTCGTCGCTTCTCTTGGATTTAGGCAGGGCAACTAAATTTGAATAAATAGCATTAGGAGAATGAAAATAACCCGACTTCAATAAACAGATACAATCCACAGTAATAGAGACATGCCTCGATCATCCTCTGAATATTCACTGTCCTCATCCAACTCGCGCTTCTTTTTCTTCTTCAGGAATCCATCCTGAACAAGGCTAGATATAATACAGACAAAAGAATGAATTAATGACATATCCTTGAAACAAGTATTTTTGCAATCTGCAGACAAGCTACAACTTTTCCATTTGCGACATACGAGGGTGTTCCTGTCCTAAGTCTGATTGTGTTTGTAGTCGAACTTGCATTCTGTTCATCGTCAGTCTTTGAACTCTCTATGTGAGCAGGTTGGAAACAACGTTTGAAAAGGTCTCAATAATTTTTCCCTCCAAAAATTCAGACACCGAATAAAAAGCATTTAACGTTATACATTCCACACGTACCAGCTGCATCGGATCGCTTCAGCTTCAACGTAACGACGCCCAGTTTAACAAGAGCTGGAGAGCCTCCTGCGCCCTGCGTAAGTGCTCCTGATGGTCCTCCTGCTCTGGAGCTGCTCGAAAAAGATGATGGCGAGGAGGTATTAGGGGATGCGCTTGATCGTGCTGCGTTCGAAGTATTGGCGCCTGCAGATGGTGTATGAGAAAGTCCTTGGGAAGCAGAATTGAATGTGGCTGCGGATGCTGAGGAGTTAGGCGTCGAAGATACTGATGAATCCTTCGACTGTGAAAAATTCGCCCCACCGTCCAGACGAGCGAGTTCGTTCGCGTACTTCTCGTGTCGCGTGGCAGCCTTTTCGGACAGATAGAGCAGTTCCTGTTGAAGCACTGACAGTTCCTGATATGATGGTATGTTAGGGACCGACTGAGGGTTTGAAGAGTGCTGCAAGGGCCGAGTCAGATAGTTGCGGAAAGTAAGCGCGTTCGGGTCAAAGTTCGACGACGCGGAGGAGTCCATGGCTATGTGACTTGTTTTGGCAGCAAATAGACACAAGTCAGCACAAGATGGTATGGCGGCAAGGAGTGAAGAGGGATGGTAGGAGCGTTCCGTGCACAACCTTGCAGCTGCATAGCTGTTACCTCAAGATGCAAGGCTGTTTTAGCGATTACAGACGAAAAAACAGCGATACAGGGTTGTGTAAAAAGCGCCTTGAGCCCAGGATACTCAAGTTTTCTGTCGGATGAGGTGATTATTGTGGCAATTTTACGCAGTACAGTAGTATTGTTGATAAATCAATGCACAAAATAAGGATTTTTCTTTTGGAGGGTAAAGACGGATAAATAAAACGGAAGGATGGTGGGTTTCGATGATGAGAATACGGTGCCTGAGATGCCTGAGATGCCTGAGATGGCGACGCTTGGGACCACAGTTGGAAGATTAAAAAAAAAAAGGTGACGTCATATATAGATTTTTTTTTTATACGTTGATAGTACAGGCCTACAAGATCACTCTTGAAACACAACCATGGAGAAAGCAGGGAAAAGGATTGATGAATGGGCGCGGACCTTCTCTAAAGGCAACAAGAAGCCCATGGCACCCAGAGTACGCCTTCTGTCATTGAGATACTGCATCTCGTCCAATAAAACAGAGCCAGTCTGAACGCATATTTACAAAGCATTCGGTCTCTAGGAATATCCGCCTATGCGGGTAAAGAAGGATATTGTGCTCCAGGATATCAAACCAATACCTGACCAGCCAAGTACGAACCCCAAGACCGTTTTAGTGGCGCACGAGCAACTGGAGGATCTTTCCTTGGAACCAACGCTGGGCGGTAAAGAGAAGAAGAAGGATGAGACCCCTATGACATCTCGCCCCAACCGTCCGACGGAAACGAAAGAATCAACAGCACCCAAGTGCTCCCCTGCGGAAATCCAGGCTGCCAATAGTCATAAGGAAATGGTAATAGATAATAATGTGCTCGATAAATGGATGCGAAGGAAATTTCCTAACCGACAATTTACGACCATTTATTAGGGCAATGAGTACTATAAAAAAGGACAATGGGAGAAAGCCTTCGAGTGTTACTCGGACAGCATGTATCTCGATCCACACAACTCTGTTTACCCAATCAACAGGGCGATGGCGTTGTTGAAACTCCAGAGGTACATACCGATGCAAGGTCTCACTAAGTGCCACCCACAACCTGTTTAGCATTTATTAACCGCATACATTTGACTCCTTGTTAGGTTTGCGGAGGCCGAGCGCGACTGCACTCTCGGGTTGAAACTCGACAGTAAGAACCTGAAAGCGCTTTGGAGGCGTGGCATGGCCCGCCGGTCTATCGGAAATTTTAGAGAAGCAAAAGAGGACTTTGAAGCGGGCTTGAAGATTGAACCCGGTAATAAAACGCTGAAAGAGGAACTGGCCAAACTGGAGCAGATGCAAAAGAAGCCAACAACAACACCGCCACCAGCATCAAAACCGGTCCCGTTGTCGACTCCAAAGGCTCAACAAACAAAAGTGGTGCCCGCTCCATCGTCAGCGAAAGAGAAACTTGCAATTCCGGTTATTTCCAGCAAGCGTGTGCAAATCAAGGAAATTGAAAATGATGAGAGTTCGGAGCTCTTCGAGTCAGCAGCTGCGAAAACTTCTACAACCTCAACCACTAGTATCCAGGCTACAGCACCTGCTGCACCATTAAACCCAACATCTTCGACCACATCTGCAGCTGGAACACCAGTAGTATCCAAGGCTCCCTCTAGTTCAGCATTGACTTCGCCACAAGCAACAAGCAGTAATGTCAATATGTCGACGCCGGCGACTACTCTGGACTTCCAGCGCGACTGGAAGAGCTATAGCAAAAATAGCGGACTGCTCTATCAATATATCAAGGTGAACGATTGCAAGGAACCTTTCAGGACTGCATTGGGAAAGCTAAGCACGGATGTTAACAGTGACGGCTCCTATTTGTCTATAGCTCATCCAACCGGGGATACTGCCAACCCTCTTCAAGAGCTCCTTTGAATCGGATTACCTGGCCTCGATGCTCTTCATCTTCCGAGAGTACTATATCCCGTAAGTACAAGCCTGGCTTTTTTTTTTTTCGTTTTCTTTAATGACCAATCAATATTTACTCCTTCATATTTTCATCCATGTTGTACTAGATCTGAGGAACCACAGCTGCTCTATCGAACCCTTGTGAATCTTGCAAAAGTCCAGCGCTTTGATATGACGCTCATGTTCATGTCGGGCACCGATAAGAAAGGTAATAGGAGATCATTGTCGAGACGCTTTTTTTGTAGCCAGCGCTTCAAATAATAACGCTTAGACCATTTCTTTGTAAGATCTCAGCGCTATATTCAAGCATCTGTCAGGTCATCTCAATGATCAAGCCGTTTATAACCAGCAAGACCTCGTAACACTCGCATCCAAGTTCAAAACCACCGACTATTAGTTTTTATTAATAAACTGATAGCCGAGATAAAAATAAAAAAGCAGCAGGCATTTCTATGCGTCAAAAGGATGAAACGACATGAATGATATTTCTGGAGTGTCCTCATAACTTGCTCGGCACTTGATGCACTAAGAAGCGAAACAGTGTGCAGGAGGAATAGCTGTAAGTAATTGTTCTTTGTCAAAAAAAAAAAAAAAACGCCGCCAAAATGCGTACCTTTTTCAATGGGTTCCCACGCTGGGGCAGTGCCGCGTAGAGACCAAATATCGTCAATTCTTGGGGAAGGGGTATTCAAGCGATCCAGCCATTTACGATCTTCGTCTACCAGATAGGAATTAACAGACGCGGTGATGGCCTCCAGAGGTATGGCAAAGTTGAGGTGTGTGATCGTCCTGCCAGTCGACGTCTTTCCATTGCCTACCATATTAAAATCCACAGCCGCACAAGCGTTAGTCTTCCTGCTTCATCCAAAGATTCTGCCATGAATTTCAGTAGTATGTTTTTGAACCGTGCGAGTGTAAATGTCGTACCTGTGACAAGGCCTACAAAGTGGCCGTCTGTGTTGACGAGTACACCTCCACTATTGCCACGATGCACCGGCGCACTACTAAGCAACATAACGGGGACTTTGTTGTACGTGACCACCTTGCTGCAGATCCCCGAAGTAATCAGGGGCAGGATACCTGAGGATGGTCCAAAAATTCCGTGTCCGATCGCAAAAAGCGGCGTCCCCTTGACAGTCGGCCTCACTTTGGAACTAAGTCATGTACAAACCGATAGAGAGACAACAGTTAAAAAAGGGCCAACCTGCAGGCAGAGGGTCGAACCATCCACTCGAGCTAGTCAAAACTTGACCAGGTAACTTGGACTCACATTTCCTCTGCACTCCGTAGGGGTAGGAAGGGCAGGAAGCCATTAAGCATACAGGTCTCCGGGATTTTGATTAGAGCCACGTCCCAGCACGACTCGGATACAAAGACCAGCTCACAATCATCCACCCATTGCTATCAACCAAAAATTATACGAGAATTAGCCTACGCATTTTCTTTCACTCTAACAGTCCCAACGGAGTTGCAGTCCTAACCTGCTGTTGAGGTGAATCGATCCTGACACGAAGAGAAACTCCGCTTCTCAGATTAGGCCACGTTCGATTGCTGATATTGTCCAGAAAAGAAGTGAACACATGGGCATTTGTAAGGATATCTATACAGATCAACAGCACAAAGAAACGTGTTAATAAAATGCGGGTCCTAGAATGGCAAGACTTGATCACCTGAAGTGTGAGCTTACGACCGTTTTTCGAGACGACTACGCCTGAAGCCCATGTTTGACCGACTTGGACCATGACAACAGCTTGGCGGGCATTCACTAATGAGCTCGAGTTCAATGCCGCAATGTGATGTGGTAACAGCGCCTGCCTGGGTATTGCGATGTATGGCGAGATAGCGGAGATGATACATGCCGCAGGGATGACAAGACTGATATCCACAGGCTCCCCATCTGTTCTCCTAAAGAGAGTAGCACAAAGACGCGTAAATAATATATTCGTTGTTGTTATAGCTTTCTTTTTGTTTGAAGTACAAACCAGACATATAAGTATTGTCCACATCAATGTTACCTGATAGGAAGCATGCTCAGTCCCGCAAGTTCTCTGGTTTCGTCCCAGCTGACAGCACCTCCCTCCATACCCGGTAAGAACTTTGCGTCCGTCAAAATTAACGAATTCGCCTGCTCATCCGCTCGTCGTGCTGCGCGGTGAGGATGGATGATGTTCGCGACAATGCCCTGACTAATGTTGTTGATCAGGACCGACGGTGCGATCAATCCAAACCCAGATCCATGCAGCGTCAGTTTCTTACCAATGGACGGCACTGATAAATGATACGGATAACTTTGACTCATCGTCATCTTGCTCTGGCCGTGGGGAGAAGACATCTTCGTGGAACTAGGCTTCAACTGCAAAATGGCCAGACCCGAGATCCCGACATTTCGCAACGAGAATCGGTGAATCGAGCCTAAATCCGTGCCTAGTTGACCTTTACTAGAACCCCATCCGAAGGTCCACATGGAAGAGTCCTGTCCTATCAACCTCCTGATGGACGACAGCATTCCTGAGACAAAAAAAAAGGGGGGGGGGAAGGGATAAACACATTAAAAGACGTGTTGCTGAATCTAGAACGCGTTGCATTAGAAACATACATACCCTCAGCCTCTACGACGGCGACCAGATCCGCAAGGACCCATGTCTCGTTTCCATCTAGGAGGTAACGAATTAAGACGACATGTCAGAGACCAGTATATTGTACTGCCCCTATAGCTTTTCACTATATGCACCTCTTTGTCTTATGCGATCGAAGATGACGCTGTTTACCATCGTCAATATTGCTCTCGAACAGGACATCGATACCCGAATTTGGGCAAAGAACCATCTCGCCATAAGAGGAGAGCTATATGAAAAATGAGGACGGACGACGAGAAACGACGCGTGTGAAACACAAAGTGCATTGAGTCAATTTGCAGAAATTAGTGTCTGCGTGTGTGTTTTGTGGGGTAAGTTGGCCTGATTTTTCCTCCCTTTTGGGCAGGTCCGTGTGCGTGTGTGTTAACACGGTCGACATTGCCTTTAGTACGGCTCATGTTTGTTTATAGCCGATGGTCTGATGCCCTGATCTCCCACGCCTTCGGCTGCCACCCAGGAAAGGGACCAAGCCCAGCATCCTTAGCAGAATGAAAAAGAATAACCCACCTTGTCCATTAGAAATGGCCGAAGAAGACTTGCGCTATTTTTTGGTGAGCGTTGAATTAGTTTCAGTGGTCGAGGTCGTGGTGGAAAGCCAGGGCAAGGACAGTGGAGTGACAAAAGAACCATAAAGTGAATTGATCGGAAGCAAGACGGCGAAATTGGATTAAAAATCTCATGTCAAAGTAAAGGCAGAGAACGCGCACGAAGGATGGCGGATCCCTCACTTCCCCGATCATTGTCAGTTGGATGTATATACCTTGTTATGACCAGACCCGAGTCCAGGGCTATACCTGAGGCTGTAAAAGTTGAATATCCGGCTGTGTTGAATGAACATCAAATGAACCGATTGATACACCAATTGAGCGATGATCGAGTTAAGGATAATATGATTCATGAGGGCCATTGGCTCGCCTCGATATATAGGAAGCAAGCAAGTAAAGACAGAACATTGACGCATCTTCATGAAGATGACACACTGCAATAAACAAGTTAACCACAGTAATGGCAAGAACACCAAGAAGTGCGAGATGTTAGGTGAAGTTTGAAGTTTTGATGAAATATGATCGACGACGAGGTTGATATTCATTGTGGAAGAAAGCTCGGCCTTCGGTCTTGGAACCATTATCGTCGGGGCCGTGACAGCGGACGCAAACCGATGCCCAGTTCTGGATCATTACGGGTATGTAGCTGGGACAAGGGCAGAGGGGAGATGGAGTGGATAAGAAGGGTGAGGCAATTGGGCGCGAACCAGGTAGGCGTGGGGAAGTTGTGCAGTAGGTAAGTGTAAAGCGGCTGGGATACAAAGACAAAAAAAGGAAGCAGGACGAGGCTCGACAAGATGAGGGAGGTGTAGGTCGAATGGGTGAAGAAAGAAAGAAGAAAGAAAAGAAGGAATGGAGGAGTGAGAGATTACTTGCCAGGAACGATTCCTCCGTTTGTGCATCAAGTCAGACAAAAAAAGTTCGGGCAGGGCGCAATGGCACTGCTTCCTGCCCTTAAACTTGATCGACGAGGAGGTGAGGGCGCATATCTTTTATATCCCTCCCTTCTCGCCCATGGAACGAACGACTCTTCTCTCTCCTCTTTCTTCTCTCTACTCTCTTCTCTTTCCTCTTCTCATTCTTCTCTCTTCTTTAACCGTACACACTATTTGCACCATCTCTATACCTTTTCAGCTGTACTTGCTGCTTCTCCTCACGCAAAAGACTCATTCCTCATTCCAGTTCATTGCACTCCACCTTCCAAGAAAGAAATGGACACAGACATGACCACCTCTGGAGGGTTCAACCTCCTAATCGACCTCGCCACTGTCCCCGCTGAGCTACAACAGGGCATCGCTGCCATCGCCACCAACTCTTTACCCCACAACATCTCCCTCGGTGAGAACGACGACCTGCAGGATGTCGAGTTCCAATGGCTTCTGAGGTATGTGTCCTCTCCTCACTCGCCCACAAACTGATTTGTTGTTCAAGCTGCTGCGTCAATGGCAATTGGCACCCCAGACAGGCAGACAGACAGAGCCAACGTCTTTTTTCGTGTCTCTCTTCTCGTATCATAGGTTCGAACAGGATCTCGGACTGGGCGAGGGCGAGTGCTCGGTCTCGGTCGATCCACTTGTTGATATGGATGCAGATCGAAAGCGTATTGCGATTGTGGTCAAGTACAATCGCAAGATCGAAGGTAAACCCTCATAAACACATGTAGCCAGCACACACAACTAATTGACCATTGATCTTAACCCTTGCACAACATATAACATGCACATAATACGTATACACACGACCTTTTATCCTTATCCTCTGCTCTTCAACCCGCTTCGATTCGTGTCGACCTGTTCATTTTACTTTCCCGCCCTTTCGGTGACATCAAAGTACTTGTGGTTACTGCGTGAAAACAGGTGGTCAGTTTCTCTTTCTTTTTGGCATACCGGTGGAGCTACCAGTCGACATACATTTTCTTCATGAACTTTGATTGATTGATTGACTTGGTCCTGGCGACAACTGACGGACAACGGGCAATATGTGCGATATGATTGGTCCCAATGAGACCCCTGTTCTCTCAGCTATCCGCCATCCAAGATATCCTAATGGGTTTGTCGTGTCTCTCGTGTATTTGGTTTGTCGGCCTGCGCTATCTTGTAACGCAATTGGTATCCTATCCCGCACAGCTCTCATTGCCTTTCCTCCGCTCTCGCTTTGACCGAACTCTCTCGCCCTCACTGGGTCATAGCCATGGGTGGTGACAGAAAATAAAGTAGACTACATTAGCCCTGTCATTGGTCTTCACGTCTGTGCATCAGTGCTTTTCTTAGCGCACATCAAAATATAGACTAACCGATCTATTTTTCCCCACGCTTACTCCTCTACTCGCTTCCTCGCGTAGCCTTCAGATCGCTCGGTCGCATCCTGGGGGCCAGTCGTCAGATCCAGGGACCCGACCCGGAAAAGGCCCGTTCCTTGCTCAGCTACACAGAAAAGTGTTGCTTCCAGAACTTGGCGTACGTATTTCATCACATCTTTTTTTTTTTTATGATGACGAGGAATATATATATACCTGTATATATTTTAGTGGCAGCCAAGTTCACTCTGAAAGTGAACATAGAAACTAGTGCCCGTTTCGTGCTCTCACCACACCTTTTATTTTATAAAACTGTCATAGTGTCATGATTGACTGTAGTCGAGGAGGCGTTTTGAAACAGTCGAGCGTGTTCACTCTGATGCGCAACTGTGCGTTGATGGGCATCAATATGATGCAGCTCTATACCGAAGACACATACGAAATCGAGGGCGAGACCTTTTTCGGTTACTTGCGCGGAGGCTACACTCAACAGGAACTAATCGCCATGGATGATTACGCCTATGCCCTTGGTATCGAGCTAGTCCCCTGTATCCAGACATTGGGCCATTTGGGACAGATGCTGCAGTGGCCTAAATACCACGTCTACCGCGATACCAACGAGGTACTGTTGGCCAACTGGGACGAGACCTATAATCTCATCGAAAAGGTTGGTTGCTTGGCTTTACAACTCACGCGTGCAATCAGGACTGCCACGCTGAAGTGCGGGTACTAACCGATTATTACTGTGCCTTAATAGATGATTACTACTATCAGCTCGCCTCTGCGGTCCAAGCGAATTCATATCGGATTAGATGAAGCCGGTGGTGTTGGCGAAGGCCGGTATAGACAGATTTTTGGTTACGAAGATCCGACACGCGTCTTCCTGAACCATGTTAAGCGCGTGCAGGACATTTGTAAAAAATTAGATCTACAGCCCATGATCTGGTCCGATAGTAAGTGTTCCGGCTATCGCTGTGGTCTCATCAACGTCCAGTCTCATGTGTCTTACCAATCCCATATTTTTGCTTGATGCATGGCGCCCTATTTAAAGTGCTGTTCACACTAGCGAACAAGAACAACAGTTTGGCAGGATACTATGACGGTGGTACGCCTCAGTTGGCAGATACTCTTCCTCCAGATATCGATCTTGTCTATTGGGACTATTACCACACGGCCAGCCAGTCATATGCAGCCAAGATTGAACAGCATCGCGAGCTCGGGTGTGCAGACCCATGGGTCGCGACTGCAGCTTGGACATGGAACCGGTTCTGGTGCGCACTCCCGTTCACGTTTGCGACCATTCAGGCATCGTGTCAGGCAGCGAAGCGAAGAGATCATGGTGTCAAGAATATGATGATCACCATCTGGGGAGACGAGGGCCATGAATGCGACATGTTCTCGGCTCTGCCGGCCATGCACTATTTTGCGGATCATGGGTACACACTAGAGGACGAGATTGACCTCAATCGGTTAAAGAATTGCTTTGAGGGCGTTTGTGGGGCCAACTTTGATGATTGGGTCTATGCAAGCAAGGTAATGAACCAGCTACCTTGGTCTTCTTGAGCATTTATGAAAAAAGCATGATAGAGTAACTTTCCTGACCGCGGAATTGTTTCCCACCCCCTCCTATTAGATTGACCAGGTTATGGATTCAGACATGCCTTCGACATTAAAAACGCATTTTGCTCCCAACACGAGCAAGTATCTGTTGTGGGAAGGTGCGTTGAAATTTGCTGTGCTTTTATTTCCCGTGAACCTTATTTGTACGTGTCAGAGTGCTATGTACTGACTTTTCTCTTGATAGACCCTTTCCTGGCACATATTTCCCCGCAATATGCTAATATGAATCTCGAGACACACTATACAGAGGTGTCTCAGAGGCTTGCCAAGGCGATCGAATTCAAGGAAGAGTATCCCCAAAACGCGCGTCTACGCATGGCTTACCTTGTGGCTACGGTCCTGAGCCTCAAGTGTCATCTGCACTCGCGCATGGTCCTGGCCTACCAACTCGGTCGTCGCCAGGACCTGTACGAGCTGACGGAGGGTCGACTTGTGGATCTCCAGGTAGCGGTGGATCAGCTCTGGAAGTATCATCGCTCATTATGGCACAAGACCAACAAACCCTTTGGGTGGGAGGTCGTAGAGATGCGCTATGGTGGGCTCCGCACGCGTCTCATGACCATGAGAGACCGGATTCTGGAGTACATTGAGGCCTCGGAGAGTTGGCAGCAGCAGCAACAACAGCAGCAGCAGGCGGCCGTCGACCCAGGCTCTGCATCCGTAGGCAGTCAGAACGGATTTAATGGATACATGCAACGACGCGATAGTATTGCCGAGGGCGACGATCCGCGTCCGTGTATACCAGAGTTTGAGACCATTCGCGAGCCCATGTACGAGTATGCGGGATGTAACCTGCTGATGGACTATGCCAGAGTCTCAACTCCCACACGTCCTGGTTAAGCAGGCATCAGGCAGCTCTCGCACAATTTTGCTAAATAAACAAGACCGTTTTATATTTTTTTTATTGCCTTGACCATTCCGGTACAGCCCTAATAAAAAAACCCCTCCCAGGGCGGATGCCCTTCATTCCTTGTAATGACCATCTCAGGTATCCTGCTGCGTTCGTCCTGGCCAAGCAAGCAGGCGCGAAAAGTTTTCGCCTTGCATAGTCCAAAAATTGCCTCGCCTGCTTTAGAAGTTGGCCCAGTCATCATCATCTCCCCATCCGTCCTTCTTTCCACTCTTTGCCGCAGCTGTCGCAGGCTTAGCCCGAGAAGCAGCCGTCGCAGCACCCGTCGCAGCACCCACCCGGTTGCTGGCTGCAGACCCTGTCCTCGGTGCGGGCGAGTTCGTGTTCGACCTTGAGATGCTGAAACCGTTGTTCTGACTATTGCTGTTGAGCCCGCCACTACCGCCATTGATGCTAGGGCTACTGTTGTATGGCCCGGGCGAGGACATATTGTTGCGGACAGGTGGCTGGTTCTTTTGTTCATAGTGGTTCATGGTTGAGCTGAAAAAATCATCTCCACCACTGCCTCCATTGCCGCCTTGCTGGTAGTCTGATGATCCGAATCCACCGTACCGGCTGTTGGTCGAGCGTGGCGCGGCTGCTTGAGGGTTAAGCTGTTGATTAACCATGGTTCCCAACGTGCGGCTGCCTTCTTGAACCTTTGAAAAGAATGAAAACGACATGGTTAGCGGACGCACTAAAGGATCAACAAAGGCTTTCTCTATCAACGACCCAAACAAATATATAATAATGAAAAATTACCTTTTGTCCGATGGAAGAGACATAACCACCGACCTTGTTCTGAAACTCTGGGTCAGTCACCGTCGCTGCGGTGGGTTTGATCACATTTTCGTTAATCATGCTGGCTCCAGCAACCAATGTCGTCGACAACAATGACCAGCCCTTCGACAAGGCCGCCGCAGGGTCGTTCAGGATATCGTTCACGTCCAGTGAATCATTCTGGGGTGGCATCGATGGCGTATTTCCAAAACCAGCGTATTTACCCCCCTGACTCGGAGGCAGATGCTCTGATCGACCGGCGTTCTCAGATCCCAACCGATTAAAGTACTGCTCGTTCCTGGACTTGTCCGTCAAAGGTGTGGTCCCTCCACTGTTGCCGAGGCTTCCTCCAGGTGAAGGGCTGTTGTAACCTGCACTGGGGCTGTTGTATCCGTTCGAGCTGAACGATGACCCATTGTTGACGCTTCGGGATCCAAAGGGTTGCTGCTGTTGCTGGTATAGGCTGGAGGCGGGAGAACCCGATCGGTTACTGTTTGCGGAGTTTGGACGCACTGGCGCCCGTGCTGCCGAGGTTGAGGGTGCCCATGGACGTCCTTCGCAGAGCGCAGCCAGCTTGTTTTGGACAAGGATAAATAAACGATGACATCGCGTACCATACATTCAAAGGGAAAAAAAAGCGAATTAGTGTCCGCCTTGTTATATTTAGCCAAGCATTTAAAGGCATATTACAGCGTGAGAGATGAATCGATCCGGTAGAAAATAGGACCTGGTGCGCTTTACCTTCTCCTTGTATTGTGTGGCGAAAACGCTGCTGTACTTTTCCTTGATGGACATTCCTTGAAAGTAATCCGGACTAGCCTCGAAGAAATCCCTAGCCTTGATGTTGCCTCCGAGCTCCATCTTCTTCAACTGATCATCAGACCATTTATCCATGGATATCGAGCGCACAAAACTAAGAGATAGACAGGTTATTTCAGTTCGATTGATAGAGGAGCGGAGTGGATCACAGGTTAGGATAGCAACCAAAGCGAGAGAGAGGGGGAAGGGCTCACTCAAGACTTTATCAAGATGATAAAATGACAGGGTCTGGAATACCCCTGCTATACCTGATATGAACTCCGAGGGAGCGATGAACCCCTGAGCACTCAAGGCAGATGAAGATACCCAGATTGCAGCTGGCCCACTGTGGATTGGGAGCATTGCAGTCCATGCAATTCTACAGCCAGGAAAAAGAGTAGGCGGATGTCAGACAGCTAGGCGTGATGAACAGCCAGGGTTTGAGGTTGGCAGTAGATGATGCTGATCGCCAGTGACTCCAATGTATGATTGATGTCCTTTCTCCTGAGTCCCGATGAGTCGATCTGAACAGCTGCAGCAGAGCAAAGGGCGAGGGACGAGGGGCGAGGGAGGGAGAGGTGAATGGGCGGACCTGGCAACTTTTTTGCTGGTTTAATGATCAGCGCTTGATGCTGGTGTATTGTCATCGGTCCTTTTGGTCCTGTCCGTGTTGATGACTGCCAAGCAAGCGAGGGTTGATCCTAGCTTCCTTGATGACGAGAGGCAGACACGGACGCAGATGGCGAGAACCAGGTCACTTTGCTGTTACCTTGTTCCCTTCCCTGCGCTGGATATCGAATAGGATGCGCTTGTATTCAACCGCCATGATGAATAAAGGAGAGAAGGAGCGGAGGGATGAATAAAAGAGTGGAGTGGAGGAATGAGTTGAAGTGTGATGAGGAAGCGCGTGCGATCCCTGAAAAGCGACCTAAAAATATTCTAATCGCCCTATCAGAGGGGGCCATCTCGGCGGATACATTTCATTGGCAATCTTAAATTCCATAGGACTAAATTCGTCATCCTCACCCTGCCTGGGTCTTTTGTAGGACACGCGTTATCACCACCTCGTCGCGACAGAGGCATCGACAAGGAGTGGCGATTGCGACCTACTAACTCAATCTTCCCCTCCAGGAGGAGCCTCACGACGCTGTGGTTGATCCGAACGCTTCCCCTGAAGATGACTCTAGCGAACCTGATGCCGATAACGTACCAACATACTGGAGGCTGAAGTAATGCTTCCAGAGGCCTTGACTCCCCTTGGCGCCCTTTCTATCGCTGTACTTGTACGATAGATGGCGGCGTGTGCCGGCACAGCATATTTACACCTGCACTCTGATTGGCCAGCAATCCGATACCTTATTCTGAATCTTACAACCATTCCATTTGCACCCATGCCTCAATCTACGCCATCGCTGCAATTCAACGGTCAGGTTAACAAGCCGTTTGATATTCTTTGAACTTGTTGATTGACCAATTTGATTTGGAATAGAAAACGATGCACTATCTTCTCGGAGACAAAAGATCATCTTTGAGCAATCTGCAGGGCAAAAATAAAGCCACAGAACAGTTTTGTGAACATATAGAACGCACAGCAGTAGTAACGAAAATAAATTCGGCTGAGGATACAGCATCATGTACACAGCAGAGGCCCAAAAGAACCTGGGTATTGTACGATCTCGCGAGGCGCGGTTTCGGTAGTACGATATCAGTTCCTGGGGTGAGTAAAGCAACTGTCGGAACACATGAGACATTCGGTGGTTTTCACGAATAAAGATAGGCGTACACATCCTATGTGCAGTCCTTTAGCACTTATTCTGTCGCATGCTTCAAAAAATGCTACATGCACTTGGTGTAAACAGCAGGGAATTCTGGTGACAGGCAATCAGGAGTGTAGCATCACTACATCAAATATAAGATAGACGAGACTGTGAAATAAACGCGACAGAAAGCGCCCGCCTCTTTTTTAACCCTACAATTCCATATCGCAATGGGTGTCCAACCCTAATGCACAGGATAGTATCCAGCACACATTATTAGTGCAGGGGATGAAGACAGGCTGGAGGGCGGGCTGTAGAGTTATGACAGAGCGCATCTGATTGTGCTCCTTGTCTCTAGTCAAGCTTTACTTTTCCACTTATATTCCGCACAGCCCCAGTACGGAAAATACCATTCTCGTCATCAATTGGCGCACATTCGGGCTGAAGCTCGCTAACATATCTTCTATTTTTTATCCTTCCATTGTCGTTCTCTTTCTCATATTCAATCTGGATTTGCATAGCCTCAAGGGGAAGGGTGTGTAGTGGTGAACCCAAACGAGTATTACGTGCCAAAAAAGTGCCCAGTTGACCGATCTCAAACTGGGAAGATGCGCCACCATGTCTTTGTCGCACGTTAATATCCGCTCTATTTCCTCGGCTGTGGACTAATTTACCACAGGGCCTCCATAGCTACCCAAAACATGGCAATGGCTGCAGTCTCCAAGGTTCAAGATCAATGATGCCCAAATTATCTGCAATGGAACTCCGTCTGGCTACAGACCCCTATACAATATTTATGGAGCGCTGAGCTAGTGCTCAGTTTCCTTCTCGTAGCCATGATCAATGAGATCAATCGCTGGATCATACCCTTTTGTTCGATGCTGGGTAAGCAAATCGACAAGCCATGATCTCCTATCCAGCGACCGTGGTTTTGTATTTCCATTTCTTTGGCTACAACTGGACGGTTGAACACGCGGTATAGTACAGAAACCATTTCAGGATGCTCGATATGTATTAAAGTGCAAATAACAAGGTCCACACAGTATACTATGTACTGTCCCTTTGCCAGTGCACTGTATCTTCTGCTCTAGAATGTCTACATGATGACTATACTATCGGTATCGGTAAACTTCGTATCCATTTTGCTCCTGACAAAGATACTTTTGGTACTTGATCTCCTGCACACGATACATCCAATCGCACAATTCAAGTGTTCCATTTGCTGATCCAACACTGGAAGGGCTTACATTCAGGAACGGGTGAGTATCCAACAGATCCTGGGCAGACTTGCGGTCCCTGGGATTCTCCTCCAACATGTTCCTCAGCAAATCCGCTGCCTGAATCAGGACTTGAGGATAGACCTTGTCCTGGCCAATAAAGTCCTTCAGCGCACGCACCGTCTGATTCGTATTCTCAAAACTCAAGTATTTTGATCCAAAATATTGTAAATCGCAGTCGGGGATGTAGGGCTCCAGCATCTCACCGAGGACAACGCCAAGAGAATACAGATCCGCTGCGGTCGGATCATGTTTTTCATAGAACTGTGGGTTCATAATCTCCGGGGCAATGTAACCAGTCGTACCGCAGACCGGGATCTTTTCGCTCGATACATAATTATTCTCCGGACGGCGATCGACTGTCATGGAGAGACCGAAATCGATGATCACAACATCCCGTTTGGTGTGGGTCACCATCAGATTGGAGGGGTTGATATCGAGATGGACAATGTTCTTAGCGTGGACAGCAGCCAGACCGGTGAGGACTTGCTTGATGGTCTTGCGAATGGAGCAGATGTTCTTGTTAACGGCGTGGCAGTCAAACCGCTTCAGCATGGGCAGGACCAGGACCGTGGCTCCGTTATCGTTGACGAACGAATCCTGGAGCTGAATAACATAGGGCAGGCTACCGAGGTCGTGCAGCAGTTCCAGCTCCTTTTCTGCCAATCCGGGAATGGGGACCGTCTTGAAGGCCAGGGGCATAAAGTCTGCTATCCGGATGCCAAACTCGATGGTCGATAGGTCATGCTAAAACAATTGCAGATAAGACAGATTTGGGGATGCATGTTAGTAAGACTGCATTGCAATTTTCGCGACATGGTCTGTGCTTCTATGCTAGTTATATATGTCAATATATATTTCAGACGCGTCGTTTGTAGACTGGGAAACTTGTCCGCAGCACTGCCCTCCGATAAGCACAGCAACATCTGCGTACGGTCTATTTGTCCGAGAGATGGTCCGAATCTGCAATAAAACACAGACGGACTGAGGGGCAGTCGATGCACAATTGACATTATTATATCCCGTTCAACTTGCCTCAAGCTTTGGAAACATGTCGTTGATGAGATATTCTGTCTGACCCTTGGATGGATGGTGCTCACACGGGGCCGTGTATACATAATCTGAGCAGCAGGTCTGCTGTTGCTGCTCCTCAGCCTGCTCCTCTTTAATGTCATCGTGCTCATATGCGTTGATCTTTGACATAAGATCCGTGCTGCTGTTGGCTCCCTTCAACGGACCCTGCAGCAACGGGTTCGACATGACATCCTCGAGCTTGCCAGCAAGCTGCATGGACTGTGTCTGTTTGTAGCCGGGACTGAGGAGGTGGTAATAACTTTGGCTGTTGGTGCGAATGTGATTCTGAATCTGTTGCATGAAGGGGTGGCCATGACCATAGATAGACCGGTGCTGGTTGCGGCGTTGATGGATAGCCAGGCGCAGAGGCGGGCCGAAGGGTTGACGCCGCTGCTGCACAATGGACTTTTGGAATGAGCTAGTGCTAATGCTTCCGTTGTTACTGTTGTTGTTATTGCTGCTGTTGTTGTTACTACTAGGTCCGGCGCTAACAGTTTTGCACATTCCACCGCTACTTGATGTCATTGTTGCTGCTGAGGATGTTGTAGGCGAAGCAGGGGCAGAGGACGAAGTAGCATTAGTCATAGCGAGGGTGCTCTCTGCCTTGGATGCCGCAGTGGTCGAGGCAGGCTGTGCACTTGATATTGTGGTGAAGAACAATGTCGAGGAGGCTGCCAGGTTGTATTTGACAGATGAGTTGACGGTCGATATGGAGGTAGCGGCCATGTTGATGTGATATTCCAGAGGGAGCTGAGTGGGAGGGGTAGTATTGCGGGGGAGAATGATCACTGGTTATAGTGTATGAGCGAGGATGGGTGCGAGGAGTGGGGACAACGGAAATACGATGGTTGCATCAATGTAAAGTGAAGGATTGAAGGAGTGAAGAGATGAGAAGGATGTAGTGGAGTGGTAGAAGTTGAAGATAAGGAAGGTGGTAGAAAGATTCACAAACTAGAAACGATTGGTATTGGCAGCGGATTGAACTGCGGCCAGAAACTGTGGCGATGATGACTGAGAATGAGGATGATAATGATGATGATGAGGATGGAGAAGAAGTAGTAGAAGTTGAAGAGTGTTGGAAGGTGTCAAAGAGGTGTCGAGAGGGGATGAGACTTGGTTGTAGTCTATGTTATATATATCCATCCGCACATGAAGACTACTCTATCAATTCAAGTCAAAGAAAGATAAGGACTTCAAGCCATGATTGAAATGAAGTATTTTTTTTGGGCCTATTCAATATGAAATTCATTTTTATTTTAGTAATAAACCCGGTTTGTTGCTGACTGACTTATTTCCTCTAGTCCCGTCAGCTAACGAGAGACAAAGTCCAGCGTGTACTGTACTAGGTTGAGTTACCCCAGGTTCTGATCCGGTTCCCTCCCTTCTCTGACCAACCAGCCCAGGGTCCTTTGAAGTGACATGGGCTGATACGCCATTATTTCTGTAATGCCATCCTATAATAATAGACCATCCATATCCCAGAGTCGCCGCCACTCCACTTGACCGTCTCAATTACCAATTGTCTGTTTGCCTCTGCCCCACCCTGACCGCTCTGCTGATGATATGAATCCTCGGAGCAGCCGTGCGCCAATTTATTAAAGTGCTCTCTTCGTTTCTCTTCATACCAACAGATGGTGCGAAAGGAAGATGGAAAGAGAGCGAGAATTGAAACTAAGGAAGGAGAATGGATGCAACCACGGATTGCGATCGTACCCACACATCGCCAATGACAATTCGCTAGATTTTGATTTTTTACTGTTTCGCTGTACTTTGCAAGGAGCATTGTCAGCCAAATCGTCACATTGATTCTTTGTCCATTTGTTCCTGGATCAATAGTACATGTAGCCTACATGTGCTAGGCCAAGACCATGCGCGTACTCTCAACCTGGACCTGAATTTGACTTGGACTTAACCCAGGATAGAGGCGTAGAGACTGCATAGATCATGGAAGGGTGTCGAGGACAATTATTCCCTCGGTATCACACCTACCCTCTCCTCTTCCTGGAAACATACCCCTCACAGCCCTCATTTCCTTCTGTGGAGCTCATCAAAAGCATATGTCCCGACTTCGTCAAGCCTACTACCTCTCCTCTGACGATGCTCTTACTGCTCCTATGCGTCTTTTTTTTTCCTGTCTCTATCCTGTCTCTGCTTCTCCTAGATTCCCTCCAGTAAACAAAAAGGAAATAATGATGCGTCTGGACAGGCAGTAACCTGGTCCATTTCGAGCATCAGCTCTCTCTCTTTGCGCTGTAATGCTCAAGGTCGAAAGACGACGAATGATGACGAAAAGAGACGGATGAAGAGAAAGTGCAGTCAGGACTCTAACCTCGTAAGAGAAGAGTGACAGGGTCAACCCGTCCATCTTTTTCATACGCGCAGAAGATACACTCGAAGAAACAAACCATATGGAGGGACAGAGCCTCAGACGGCGTCAATGCTAAGATGTCAATGCGCTCCTCGCTCTTCCGCTCATATATTTCTTTCTTCATTTTCGGTTTAGCTTGGTTGACGTAGATCTCGAATATAGTCTCTTGCCTATCTTGACATAGTAGCCATTGATTGTCTGAATAGCCCTTTTTCTATTCATACGTCAAAAATAGCGCTCGGTCCCGACTGACAGACAAAAACTCCGTATCAAACTCAAGTCTTACTGGCCTTAGTTATAGACGCACGTGAGGTCAGAAACCACTAGCGCTTTCTCGCCCAATAAACTATGCCACTGCCTCCATCCATCACTGAACATGGCGGTGTCGCCACCGCTATTGTTGACTATGTAGAAAACTATGGGTTCATGGGGTACATATGCATTCGAGGAGAAGGAGATGGAGAGGAGGAGGGCCGATTGGCGCTATTTTAGATCCATAAAGCACAGAGAACCGACGCTAGTCCCTCTGTCTGTATACTTTGCTTCAATTTCCCCCAATCAATCGTTACCTTGTTCCGTCCCGCGTGCGTGCAGGTAAAGATGGATACATACCAAGGCCTCTCCTGACCACGTTTGAGGCGTCCCCCTTCAACACATTCAAGAAAATAAAGAAAAACTCGCCGGCAATTGAAGGCAAAAAAGAAAGTGATATTCAGGAACGGGTACACAAGGGAGAATGTTCTTTTGAACGCAAGGCCACTCCACACATTTGCAATTGCACTACTGGATAACACTGCATAGACTAGACCATCGCCCCCTGCCAATACCCTACTCTGCTTCCTTTTTCTACGTAGAAAGGTAACGGGATAGTTTGTTGCGTTGCGTGCATCACCGATTCTTTGTTAAAAGCACCTATGACATAGAAGGATGAATTAAGATTTGAGTCCACGGAGCAAATTTGTTCAAGAGGAATATGACACGACTCTATGTAATTTAATCGTTACACCTCAATGGTAGGGCAAAGAGTAAGAAGAGGAAGTGCTCGCCACAGAAGCAATGGTCGTCATGAAATGACGCGGATTGACGACAAAGCATTTTTTTGACGGAATGCAGTGAAGAGCACAAGCGCGCACAGAGCAGCCTCAGCCTAATTCAACACATTCCTTCTGACGACAGCATTATTTGTACTATTACATTCGTAATCAGAAAGCCAAAAAAAAAAAAAAAAAAGCGAAATGAGGTATCAGTCAAGACTTTCACCTACAAAATAACTGGGAAAAAATTCCTTTCTTCTAAATCCTTAAGAATCACGTCGACTGTATCAACGAACAATGTACGCAATTCTGTCACCAGCGACCTTGCGTTTACGCGTCCAGGAAAAAAAAAATTAGTCACTTTGGCCGTGCAGCACATATACCCGTATTTTCCTGTTTCTCACCAGGTGTTAAGGCGCAAAAGAAGAGGTCTCGCCGAGACTCGAACTCGGATTGCAAGATTCAGAGTCTTGATTGCTAACCAATTACAACACGAAACCCTTCGTGGCAGGCCTTTTTTTAGGAATACTATATTTCCAAATTCCGATTCACATCACGTGACATGGCCACTCAGGGCTTTTCTTTTGTGGCCCATGTCGGGCCTCCGGGGCCCTCTAACGCCTTCTGTGCCACCCAAACGCATGCCCTTAGGTATGAAGTTTCATCTAGGATAGAAAAGGTCGCTCAAAATCGCCTTTTTTGCATTTTTTTATATTTATTTTTGCGGTATGGATGTTTAGTACCATTAGTCGAGGCAAGAGAGCAAGCAGCGTATATAAATGCGTCGCGTGCTCATGGGGATTTATGTTAATAAAAAAATAAAATAAAAAAAGATAGTAATAGCAGTAGCAGTAGTAGTAGTAGTAGTAGTAGTAGTAGTAGTAGTAGTAGTAGTAGTAGTAGTAGTAGCATTTGGAGGCTTGCGATAAATCAAGTTTTAATACGACGCACGGTCAATCTACGGCTTCACTTTTGATCACTGTCGCATATTTCACAACAGAGTTCACTGTATATTTAGTCTAACAAGTGTACCTCCAGCTCACTATTATATTTAATACAAATAAATACCTAATCGGTGTGGTGTGTGGAGCCACATCTCTTTCTCACTCATTTTCTGAATCCCAAAATATCTCAATCACGTCAAAAGAAGATAATGGTTGAGTACTGTACAGCCAAGCGCCAACATCACAGTGCAGATAGGTTGTTCCACAGCATCGCAGAGGCATGGCATTTCGCGTTCGCATAATTTCAGAAAAGCGGCCAAGCTTCTGTCGTCCCTTGGTATATCTGAATATCAAAGAATGATGTGCTCCTCGGCCTTCTCGCCGACTTTACTGGTGACATTTATCGTTTTTGGGCGAAGCACTTATGCAAATGTTACTATATTTACCATAAGGAATAAGTGGTATAGGAGTATAGAAGAGGAAGAAGACCAATACAATTCTTGTTGTGACAAAGTTGTCGACAGAAGGCCTCGGCCAGGTTGTGTATCTTATCCACGCATATGCGCCGAATCGCGTATTCTTGTCCCCGTGCCCTCTGTAAACATGATCTCTTAACATGATAGAAGTTTTTAATGAGAACCCTCAAAGGCACGGGATTCATTAACTGTGATCTGAAGCAAGCTGCCCGCTCCGACTATGTCGCAACAGATCCGTGTTTCAGGACCAATGACCGCATGTGGTGAACTGATGGTCCCTGCTCCCTACGTGGCCTGTTGTGCGCGAAAGTCATCCTCTAGCCACGGTCCTCTGACATTTTAAGAAATTGACATCCTCTCAGTCGCTCCATCACATCGAGTCTCAGCTACCCCAGATATGATAGTACCCCTGCACTCGTTCATCCGGGGTGTCGTTGATCTCTTTCACGTCGGGTGCTTGTCGTTGTCTCAGGGTAAATCCCATAAAATCATTGCTGCTACAGTTGCGTCCCCGGGCGCGTTTGCTCACAGCAGTGATTCCATGCTCATGTCCTCAGTCGACGGTGACTTACATCTTCTGTTCCAGATCTCTGCTCTGCTGATAGAGATATGTATTCGCCATGACCAGGAGTCGAACCCGGACGAACCGATTTTAGCCAATGACTCTTACCAACGTGGCGATGAGCCGTGCACAGGTATAAGGATGGCGAATTCTTTGGTTTCCACCAATCATAATGATTCATGTGTCGAGGGAGCCTACACCATGTATTGAAAATGTTAATGCGAAGGGCCTGGTGCCCCTCGACACATCTTTTGACTTTTTCTCCATGTGCTGTATCTTCTTTTTCTTTTTCTTTTTTTCTGTTTGGCACCCATTGTGACACAGCGGCGCTAGGAACTAGCT